CTTCCTATCATTTCAAAGTGTGTGTGTGTGTGTGTGTGTGTGTGTGTGTGTGTGTGTGTGTGTGTGTGTGTGTGTGTGTGTGTGTGTGTGTGTGTAACATGGAAGTATACAGAAATCTGAGAGGAGGAATGTCTTGACAGATGCCTAAATTTAATTCACATCAAATAAAAAAGGAGAAGTTTATATATTTGTGGCATTTATATGTTTTTATCTGTATGCTGAAGATTAAAGTAAACCAATCTACCCAGAAACAACTGAGTAGGACAAAGAAGCAGACAGAGACACATTCCCCTGTTACTATGTGTAACATCCAATCCGTCAAGGTCACTCTTTATCTTCCATTTGTTTCACCAGCAGAATGCTTTACTTCACAGACTTCCCTCAGAGGCAGATAGCACGCAGAGACAAAACAAATATGTTAGAAAACAGGGAAAGCAACAGGAGGGAATCCATTTTCTAGAGGTAACCAGACAAACAAGGCAGACTCTGAAGCTGTAAAAATAGTTGCGCCTACTTTAAGGATTTTTTTTTTCCCCTCTCATCAAGAGTTTCAAGATATATAGTCATGGTGTCCTGTACTGTCCTCATCCTGGGTCCTCTTTGCATCCATGGTATAATTCAAGCTTGCATGGGTGAGGAGCTGTCCCGTGGGGCTGTGCTATCCTGGTTCAAAGTACGGGTTCTGGAAGGTCTCGGGCTCGAAGAACCCCCTCTGAGCACGCTGCAAGGTCCCGATGCAGACAGGGTACCTCCTGATACGAGGCACCTGCACCAGAGGGCCCACAGGACAAGCAGAACATCTTGGGTTAATCCTCAAACCCGTCCGAACCAGGAATCATCGCAAATAATTCTGTTCCCGGGTTCAGGTGAGAAATTCTTTTGCACTTATCTGTTTGAGTGGAGTGAGTCTAAAACTCCACACGGGTCTTTAAATCGATCAACAGGTCAAATGTCCTCTTACTCTTACAAATAAAACAGTATACGGATACATTTTGACTTTAAGTTTTAATAGATCTTATTCTAAATGAAAACCATAAGGATGCCATTATTTGCAAAATTTTTCTGCAAAATTTCCTTGCAAAGTTTAGTATTTGTATATTATAGATGGTTATACATATTTTTTACTTCTTTTAACATCCATTAATATACATTTGTATTAGTAGTAAAAACAAAATGATGCGCAGCAGAATTGCATCTATCTAAATGCCAGGTAGTAAGATAATAAGATACACTGAATAATCAAAATTATGTAATAGTATTAAGGGTGGTGGGATCAAATAAGTGTAAACTTCATCCTACTCCTTTCCAAGCATCTAAATTGTGTAAAATATAGAGACATTCACAACAACTCAGCATATTAACTTTGTTTTATTTTCCTATTTACAATGTATTCTGCTCTCTAAGGAGCTTGGAAAGAAAAGCATCTGGACATCTTTAAGTTGTTTGAAGACGTTTCACCTCTCATCCGAGAAGCTTCTTCACTTCTGAGGAGAACTGAAGAAGCTTCTCAGACAATGTATTCTGCTATTTTAGGTATATTTACATGTTCCAAATAAAACAATTAATAGTTAGGTAGACAGATATGTGATTTAGTCTTTATGTCCTTAGACAGGGCGATGTCCAAAGTCTGTCCCGGGCTAATCATGGCACTAAATCAGATTTTATATGACCCCTCGCTCCTTCCTTAAAACGTATTAGTTCTGGCCCGCTGCCAAACAGAATCAATGTGTAATGTTCTCTTTTCACCCCATGGTGGCAGCACCATCTGTCTTTTATACACTCTCGGTTACAACCAACATAGAGTGTATAAAAGTTTCAAAAACTCACAAAATACACACAAAAGTAAGTTGTTTAAAATTAACCTGATCTACTGATATTCATCACCTTCACTGAAGTTCCTCAAGCTTTATGTTATATCACTCTTTGTATGTGAATTAAAAGACGATTTATTTTGGTAACCTTTGAACACACCTGATCACCTTTAATGATAATTCTTGTCTAATTGAAAATAAAATAGAACACCTCAAAAAAAGGGTGAAACGGATTGTTGGCTCTAAAGTTTCCATTAATAAATATGGGATTTTTGGGGGGGGGAAAGTTTGCCAGTGCTGTTTATCCATCACTGTTATAGTGTGAGTTGCAACCTCAGAGACATTAGTTTTAAATATATTTGCCTTCTCTAAAATGTAATGGAACTAATGGCACTCGCCCTGAAGTGCTGTCTGCCGAGGTGGCTCACTCCCTGGACGGTATTTCTTACAGTACTTACCATAGTATCATATCAGTAAGTGTGGTCAGAGTGAAAACCTCTTGTCATTTTAAATGGTTCTTGTTAGCATTATTAACACTTTGACCTTCAGATCAATCAAACTTGACCTTAAAGGAGAGGTCTATGAGAGGTATATGTTGACACACCACACTTGTAAGAATCATAGTTATCAAGTCATAAGGCTTTTTATCAATTTTCAACCAATAAATCATTAAGCTGACCTTGAAGACAATGGTGCATTTAAGCCAAATTTTAATGGATTGTTAACATGATCCCACTTTACACTCCTGCAAAGTTTTATCAGAATTCATTCAACTGTTTGAGCCATTGTTTTTACAAACATAATGGCATGCATGCACACAAACACTACTAAAAACACAACCTCCTAGGTGGTGACAATGCTTAAATTTCAGTGCTGCATATTGTAATGCAGCCTTACTTATATTTATGTTGCAGTAAACTGGCAGAGATGTGTACTTTATCTGCAACACCTAATTTTTATAAACTTAACTCATGTTTAGACACATTAACTACATGTAGGAAAGAAACAAAGCCAACACAATGCAGTTTTTTAAATAATAAAAGGCAAGTAGAAAACAATTTTTTTAATAAATGTGTGTAGATGGGGCATGTGTAATTTGGGGTTTACGTAACTTAACTGTCAAAGAATAACCTTATACTGGGCTGAAATAAACTTGTTAGTGTCCTCTCAGGTTGAAAGAAGTTCATGCTGGATCCAAATTAGTAATCATACCTGTCAGTGTCCTGATGCATGCTCAATCATCCAGGTAAGTAAATCACCAAAAGTTGGTTCTGTTCATCTGGACGTAGCGTTTTCAGTGGGAGAAACGTTTCATCACTCAGCCAAGTGCCTTCTTAAGTGACTGTGCTGTGATGTACACATCTTCATCACCGCTGTTCACTGTGAAGAATTTCACTTTGTGCTTAGAGATGAAAGAAAATGTTAAGTAGGCTAACAGATGTTTGTTTGTTTTTTTAATCTGATGTCTCCCTGTAGACTGCACCAAATCGGACTCAGCTCAGGGAGAAACTACAAACAGACATATGACATATTACTTCCAGCCCTCCATCAACAGCCAGGACACTGTAGTCACATCAGCCCACTTCTGGTTCTTTGCAGGCGAAGCAGTCACAGCTAACTCCTCCGCCCAGCTTTTCATTGTAACCACAGCACTAGAACGACTCCAGGCAGCGGAGGCTCCATCAAATTCAAGCTCTGATGGATGGACCACCTACCATCTGGATCAGAACCTGCTGGCCCTTGTCGCCGAAGGCCCCTTTCTTCTTCAGGTCCACTGTCCAGCCTGTCAGTGCCACGCGGGAGAACCAGACAAGATACCCTTTCTTCACCTCCATGTTCAACCTCGTGGACCTTCCCGGTCACCCCGCAATGCAGCAGTGACCATTCCTTGGTCTCCCTCTGCCATCTATCTTCTGCAGCGGCCCTCTCAGGAAAGGCCTCTACACAGCGACTGCCACCGAGCAGAGATCGACATCAGCTTTGAGGAGCTGGGGTGGGACAACTGGATCGTCCATCCGAAAGTGCTGACGTTTTACTACTGTCACGGAAACTGCTCGGGTGGGGATCTAACCACTGCAATGTTGGGGATCACTCAGTGTTGCGCTCCCGTCCCGGGGACCATGAGGTCCCTGAGGATCACCACAACATCTGATGGTGGATACTCATTCAAGTATGAGACCTTGCCTAACATTATACCTGAAGAGTGTACATGTATCTAAACATCAGACCTTAAAGGCCAGTTCACCCAAATAAAAGATTTCAGTTTACTTACAAGTCACAGTTGAAATTTGATTACTGCCCTTATTAAACTTGATTTTGTCTTATTCACTTACAATTCTGTCCTGATTGTTCTCTAGTTTGGGTGTGTGCTACATAAGCATCAAAACAGATTGTACTTTATATGTTAACCTTGATTAAAGTGTTATTTAGCGGGTTTTGTTTGTTTAATGTGTTGTTTTCACCCTTTCACTGGTACTGCTTAGTGTACCTCACATCAATATTCAACACACAGTCATACAAGGAAGTGTAAGATATAGTTCTACATGTGCTAAAAATTAAAGTCAATAAAATTTAAGATACTTTTTCTAGGAACACTTTAACCATCAATTAAAGTCCTGACATAAATTAAATAAATTGAACATTGTAAAAATGGCCAATGACATGATCAACTTAAAATTTCTGTTAAAATTTCCGTGTTTAATTTATCTATTGAGTTCTATACATCTGTTCCTTTCCACATAACTTAGAGTCGCATATTTGCTATACCAATTTTTTTGGATATGTATGCATAAATTTGGCATTTTAGATACATTGCTTAAAACTCAATTCATACCTGATGAGGACTTGGTCGATATGTTTGCTTTGCTTGCTGAATTAATCCAGAACCCCCTCCCCTCATCATCAATAAGGAAATGACCACTTTAACAACTAAATCAAGGGGAAAATTGGGTTCTTCCCTTATTGGGCTACTGAAAGATTATTATTATTATAAACCAAAGTGACATAGTGAAATAGTTTGAGCTCATTTAAACCCCTTTTAACCACTACTTGATTATTCCTCTGGAGGGCATAGTAGGCCTACTTTAAAACCCATCATTTTACCTTAAACAGTATGACTGACCCTGTAGATGTCAGGGTAACTAACAGATGTCACTCGTTTTTACAATCCAATAAATTTTCATTTTAATTGATAAATTAACATGTTAATACATATTGAGCAGACTGCAATTCAACCACAGGTTTAAACAATTATTTTCAAAAAAAAAAAATCAAAGGACAGGAGTAAACCATTTCAAATATATTTATTTACTCTGAAGACAAAATAATCTCTACAGTTACAATAACTACAAAACTTGCAATAGAAAAAAAAAGTACTATACTCAAAAATTGAATGTCGTACCTCGAAATAAGTAGCAAAACTGGAAGTGAGATGATTATAAGAATACAGCAACAGTTCTGTGGCAATCCGCACTTTGTTCTCCAGGATATAAAACCAACTATGAAAATGTTTCAACTGTATGAATACTGAAAGCTACTGAACACAAAAAAAAAAAAAAAAAAAAAAAAAAAAGGAAGGAATCTCACGGTGAGTTGAAGATTACATGTTTACATGGCACCAGGCTGTGCGTCAGCAAACTGTCATCCTTTCCTCAGCTTGGCTTTTCTTCCTCCTTCTTTCCCGGGATGCACAAAGGTATCCGTGTTTCAGCACGAAGGAGAAGGAGAAAGAGGTTGCATGTCAAGGACGGAAAATATGTCTCACTAAAGAAGAATGTAAATTTGTAAAGACAAGGGTGGAATTACATGTTTGACAGTGCCCCAGAAAACAGATGTTTCTAGCCAGTTAGCATGAAAAACCACAAAAAGTGAATTTATTTTCCAACTTTCTGCCCCAACGAACACTAAATATTTGTTTTAGAACATAATTTAGGAAAGGATTAACATTGAAATGCTGAGGTGGTATTTGCATGACAACACTTCCTTCTACACAAATGTCACTAGCCTACAACGTTTGGTCAAAAAAAAAAAAAATTTAAATAAAGGCCGGTAAAATGATTGTACAAAGATGATTGTTGGAAATGTGTGGAACGGTTCCTGTTGATTAAGAATTCAAGCATTTCCCAGGTAAATATTTTTGGCTGATTTGGGTAAATAGGCTTCGAAAAGAAATAGAAAAAAAAAAAAATCTTTCTGTCAAACATTTCTGAAGTGGAATGACTTCTGGCTAATACACCAATAATTCCCAACATTTAAATTAAAGATGACTCATCCAGTTACAGGTTAAGCCCCACTTAACAAGCTTCTGCACATACTCAAAAACATTACATAACGCAAGGTCATGTTTAAGATTTGAGACCAATAAGCTTCAACCAAGTGAGACATCAACATTCAGAAACATTAATAAAAAATAAAAGCCTCTCTCTTGTGAACCAAACAAAAAATTAAAAATAAAAAAAATACACTCAGCTGAAGCTTACAATAATCCTTGCGTGGTCTTATAATGGACAGGTTATTGCAATGCAACAAAACACAGAGATGACGAAAGAACATGGGGTAGACGAGGTCTAGCCAAAGGCACAGTCAAAGTTTGGATGTAGGTCGGCAAGCTTTCAAGTTTAGAGTCGTGGAAATTAACCATTTGTCACAACACCGCTCAGTCAGCATTTCTTTGTTTTCAACTGACCTCTAATACTGAAAGGCACATTTCTCTCATCCCCACACACAAACACACGCACACATATTACACACACTTTGGTCTCCCTCAGTGGTCTGACTGCATTCCCATATGTGCTTCCCCCATGTGTTTAAGGCCAGTAGGAATGAAAGGACAGACATTTGAGGCAGGAAGCACGCTCAGGCATGTATCCCTAGAAGATAAAGAGACCAGAGATTATTAAGCATGCATGTTCACTTAAAACTGAGATTTTTTCTGATGTTTTTAGGTCAAACCAAAGTAGGAAATAAACCACAAAAAATAAATAAAAATCTGACATAAAGTCCAAAGTTAAGCCTGTATTTACATAATCGGCTGGAAGTAGAAAGATTCAATATTCTTCTCTGGTTTCCATGTACCAAATATTAAGGTTAGTGCCATCCTTGAATTTTAGAGTGCTGACTGGACAAAATTTCAAACTACTAAATGATGGAAAGCCAACAATGAAGGGTTGGATCTCTATAACTGCAGTTCCTCTAATGGCCACTTGAGGCCCATTTAAAAAAAAAACCCACACACTATTCCAAGTCATGATAGGACTACTTAATTGTTTTAATACCACTTTGGTGGAAGAAGACTGCTGTAGTCGGCAGCCATCATCATCATAATGATGCAATCACCTGGTAAATAATTACTTTGTACAGTTAACTGTACTCGCAACCTGTTATAATTTGTGCTTCAGTCTGCCAAGTTAAAATCTAATATTGTATCTCTAGGTCACTTAGAAGCTAACCCGGACTGGGCAATGCACCACTGGATTCCATGTGCAGCTTTCCAACCAAACTCTCTAGCATTAGCTAATACCTTAGCACTCCACCATCTTGCCCAAATATGGTCACTTCAGTCTTAAGACAAGCAAGATGGCAGCAGCCATAAAGCTAAAGTTGAGGCTTCAAAATGCAAACCCACAAACCAGTGGGTGAGGTCACTGTGGCTACATGTTTCACAGAGTCTATGATTTTAGCTGATTAATCACATCTTCCAGCCCTAATTTATTTATAGAAAAAGTACTTTTATATGCTGGCAATACTCCTCTTCTAAATATTTTCTCCATGGTTTAGAGCTGCAAATAATTTTCTTCAATTTTTAACAGTCCAAAACCCAAATGATGTTAATTTACAGTTATACAAAACAGAAGAGTGGCAAACTCTTACTTTTGAGAAACCTGAACCACATTTAGCTGAATGTTTGGCTTTTTATATAAATAAATGATTTGGTTTTGATTATTGAAGGCTGAACTCTACCTCCTGGTTCATCTGTGTCAAATTCAGTGTGTCGAATGGAGGTCCGAGCGTCTTCTTTACCTTTCTCGCTCGCCTCTCCTTGCTTCTCCTGGGCAAAATTGAGACGGTTCTGCTCTGCAGCAGTCTGTGCAGCTGTGTTAACCTCTGGGCTGCTGCTGCGTGAAGGACTTCCTTCATCCACCTGGTAGGCGAGGTCCAGGTGCTGCTGGGCCAGCCTCAGGTGTCTTCTCAACCGCTCCAGCTCCCTGGACGAGGGACCCTCATCCCCAATACTCTCTCGCCCAGAATCACCCATTGGCAAGTCCCTCAGCTCTTTCATTTTCTCCTTTTTCATGGTGGCGTGGTATCCTGGTGGAGCTGTAGGCATGGAGCGTGAGGCCGGTGGACGGGAGGTGCGTGTGTTGAGGGTGGCCCGCCTGCGGAAAGTGTCACGGATGCTGCCGATACCCAAATGGATGATTTCCAGGATGGTGAGGAGAAGGCAGAGAAAGGACACAACGTACATCACCAGAAGGAAGATCGTCTTCTCTGTGGGACGGGAAACAAAGCAGTCCACCGTGTGCGGGCACGGAGAACGAGTGCAGACGTAGGAGGGAATCACCTCGAAGCCGTAAAGAATATACTGCCCAAAAAGGAAGGCCACCTCAAAGGCAGAGCGCCACAGCAGTTGGCACACATAGACTTTCATCAGGCCGTCACGCAAGATCCGCCGGCGACCATCATGTTTTTTCTCTGAGCCTTGAAAACAGAAACATTAGAAGCCAACTTAGTATCAAGTAGGGGTTGTAATCTATTAGAACATTAAAGATGCTTTGTGAAAGACGTACTGCTGCCCTACTTTGTTCTGCTTTGTCTGTCTTTTCTGGTTCAATCTCTTCAGCAATCATTGGGTCTTCTTCTCCGTTGTCCTCTACCTCTTCATAGTCCCTCGCAGCCCCACGTTTGATGATTGGTATTCTCTTCTTCCGCTTTGGGCCCGGCCGAAAGTCCGTCTCTTCCATGCGGGCGATCTTGTGCATGGCAAATCCAAGGTACATTATGGTTGGGGTGGTGATCATGATCACCTGGAGGTAAATGTATGCATGTTGATATTAACAGTACTGTTTTGTGTGAGTAAAATAAACACCGACAGCCTTCTTTTGCTAGAGCTCACCTGGAAGATCCAGAATCTGACATGTGAGAGCGGCGCAAATGCATCATAGCACACGTTCTCACAACCAGGCTGCTGTGTGTTGCAGACAAATTTGCTCTGTTCATCATAGTAGATGGTTTCGCCGCCAACGGCCGTCAGCACAATGCGGAAGATGATGAGCACAGTCAGCCAGACCTTCCCCACGAAGGTGGAGTGGTTGGATATCTCATCCAGCAGACGGGTTAGAAAGCTCCAACTCATGGTGCCAAGGTGATCGGACCACTAAGTTAGCTCTGGGTTCAAAACAAAAGCATGAGACTGAGAAGTGATGGGAAAACTTCGTTTTGCATTCATAAAAATCAAAGTGAGCAAGAACAGCAGCCTGTGAATCCGTGAGGTTTGTGCATGTCTTATTTTAGGATCACAGCAACTAAAAGAAGCCTTTGTGGACAGATGGTCATACAGCAGATGTTTATCATTAAGTATGAAACAATTAGCTGAATAATTATAGGCTGATCCACAGAACACACCTTGTTGAGTGCCCACAGCAGATGTTTTGTATGCTGGGGGGGGGGGGGGGGGGGGAGGGGGGGGGGGGGGGGAGTGCTCATGTGGTTTAAACCCTTTTCTGCTTCAGGGGGGGACAAAAACAAAACATTCAATCAGTGTGATGACTTTAAACAACCTTGGAAGGACCTCTGTATGTACAGAAAATAAACATTTTGAGCTCTTATTCAATTAAGTTAAATATTTAAGCATTACTTCAACCGAAAGTCACTAGAAGAAACCAAATGATAAGCTTTCACACCCAAAAGGAGATTAAAACCATGCATTTGGAAATGCAGGTATTCCAAGAAAGTCTCCACAACAAATCTTAAAAAATAAATAGATAAACAAAAGCCACACATTTGGTATCAAGTAACACGAGGCCCATACAGGTGGTTTAAACCCAGGTCAGACACACAGGTCTTTAAATGCGAATCAGTCTTGTTGGTCAGAGTGCACTAGTCCCTAGCAGCATTTTCGAGAACCAACATTCCTACACCTCACTGCCACGCCAAGCTAGAGATGCTTAATCAGAATCAAAGAGGCAACTGGCAAGTTGCAGCTAGCTCTGAGGAGACCTGCTGTGGCTCCAGGCTGCAGGAATTATGATATTATAGCAGTGACTAGATCTAGGAATTTGCTCTCCAACTCTGCACCAGAAACTATTCTTTTAAATTCCTTCAAGTGTGGCAAATACTCAAAAAGTAATGTGCAAAAAGTCTTACAGCAGTGGCTGTAAGCTTTAGCAGCCAGCTGGAAATAAAATTTAGAGTTGATGTAGCAGTTTAATAACTGATCAAGATAAGATTAGCTTTGTGCTTTTCCCCTCCAATTCTGGCTAAAGCCTGACTGAACTCAGTTTCAAAACACATCCTGGATCAGTCTAGTCTGTGATGAGGGTATTCTTTAACCAAACAAGGCACCAGATACACTGTAAAAGAGAAATGCCACCATAACTTTATTTCAAAACCCATTTGATTGAAACCAACACAGAGGGGGAGGAGGATGAGAAAAAGGGACTCTATGAACTGCTCATCTTTACAATTACGCTTTTAGACCACAGGGTGTAGCAAAGAAAATAAGCAGCATTTCATGACTCATTGCAACAGCATCAGCCTTTAGCCATTACAGGCATCTGTAGGCTTGTCTCCTCAGATTAGCCTTTGACACTCAAACGCATTGTTCATCATCCAGTCCTCTGAAATTCTTCTTTTCCAACCCTGGCACCCTCTGACGCTGAAAAATGGTTAGAGTGACTTGCCCGAGCCTGACCTGCGTAATGGAAAAATATCCCACAAAAAAAAAAAAAAAAAAAAAAATAACAAGGCCTTAGTCTCACGAGACTAAGCCACACCAAAGCTATGAAAACTTCCAGACAGTAGGTCCCTGAAATCATCCCCTCAGATTTCGAACTGCAACAGCGTCGCCCTGAATCTAGAATTACATTTTGAAAACAAAAAATTACAAGCTTCATCTACTAAAGAAGGGGCATCACACTCACATCCCTGGGAAATGTACACTTGGTTTTCTAAAGCTGACAAAAGAGACAAAAAACAAAAAAAACAACAGACAAGTCCAGTTGCCTGGTGATATCCATTTTACCCTCAACGCAGTGTTACAAAATCCACCTTTAGATGGCACATTAGCCAAGAGGAGGAGAGAAAAGGCTGCTGCTAAAATTTAAAAGCCTCTTTCTGGCATTCATTCAGCAAGGCAGACTTATCCCTTTAAACCTCCGCCCCCAGGGCAGCACTGCCTTTGGTTTCCTCCACTGAAACTTGTTCTTGCATTGCAACAGTTTGGCCTAAGTGTGTATTGAGGACATGACCTGATATAAAGAATACCGCACACAGACCAAAAGCATCTCTCAAGCAATGAAAGGCACGAGCAGGCTGACCAATAATGGACATCTAATCTCAGTGTAATTAGGAAAAACCTTTAATTAAAAGAAGAAGAAAAGACAAAACAAGAATCCAGAAGCCGAGATTTCAGTTTGACCTCACTGAATTCCTGCTATCAGTTTCTAACCAAGCTTATCAGTCACCTGAACAAGCACCTGGAAAAAGCCAGTGACCTTGCCAGCAGAATTTACGAAGGCGAAGCAGACATGCCAAACAAGTCCACACATTTAAAAACTTTTTTTTTTATAAATATGCTTTGCGTGCTCTTGCACCATCTCCTAACATCCCATACTCCCCCTCAAGAAAAATAAGCTGCAGAAAACAAATGTGTGAGTTTTGCTGAGTGTTTGGTGAATGACAAGAAAAATTTACTGTGTCATCACAGCTATGGTGACATTAAAAAAAAAAAGAAGAAAAGAAGAGAAAAAAAGAGGAGGAATGCAATTTTGTGCCACGGGCTCAGAATAGTTTTGAGTTTCCAGCTGTTGTTCACTTTGCACAGGACTGCTCCAGAAGGGAGTTCAGCTCGTGCTAATGCTCAGGGTCCATTAAGAGTTTCTAGAGGTGCTGAGCTAAAAGAAGCAGGGAGGGGGAAAAAAAATAAGTTGAGACAGCAGCAAACGCACAGAATTTACTCATCTCAGGGGGCTTTACAGCACCCCTTGTTAACACACTGTAAAACTGCCCTCCCCTCCAGATAAAGACACCAAGGAAACCAAACATTCGCCTTTCAGCTATACATTTGACTAAGACAAACATGCATCTGGCTCGAGTAAATTTGAGCATTTTGTGCAGACTCACAAATGCACTGAAGACGGCTTTAAAAAAAAAAAAATACAAACAACAACAACAACAAAAACAGTAGCTTATTTGCTCATGTGGTTTAAACCCTTTTCTGCTTCAGGAGTCACTATGCTCTCCAGGAGTTATGAGTGGGGTGGGTTGTGGAGAGTTTTTTGGGGAAAGGATCTGGACAAAGGGAAAGTTAACATTCCTGCCTAACCAAAAGCAGAAAGCTGGGATTCTTAGGGTTCAGGGAGCAGACAGAGGGCACATGGACTCCTGATACAATCCGAGCAGCAGGAGGAGAACCATCCAGCATCTGCAAATGCAAATCACATCTTTTTTTTTGCCGTCTACAATAGTTTGACTTTGAGGAGAGCAGGGACAAAAATTAAATCTAAAGTGGAAAATGGAGTCAATGCACATGATTGATGTCGGTTTGTGTAGCTGGAAGGAAGTTTAAAAGCTCCTTGGTGGAGCTGTTGAAGGCTTCGAATACGCTTTGCTGAGTCAGACTGAATTGTTTTGGAAATTGTGGCATTCCTGGAGGAAAACTAAGTCCTGCCAAGCTTCAGTGGCGAAACAAGAATCCTCTTCTTCTTAGAAGATGAAGCCATCAAGTTCAGAGTCTGACTTCTGAAAGTTCAAAACAGCCATTAGCACATGAACTGCTCCCTTAAAAAAAAGCTTCTATTTACATATAATAACTTTTTTCCTTGCACTGTGTGATCTCACAATGTTGCGAGCCGCACCAATGGTGACGTTATTCAAAGTCTCCATGTGTTAAATTTTTCCCCTTAGTTTAAAAACTGACGAATATAGGAAGACTCACCACTGACACTCCGGCACGCACAGCTTCAGAACTCGCCACGCGGACCTACTCAGTATATTTAGACTAAACCCTGCTCTTTAAAATAAATAATAAACAAACTTCTCGGGTACCAAAAACAAAAACAAACAACCCACAGTCGGCTTCAGCTAAGCTCCAAAAGGAAAACCAAACGACACTAACTTTTCTCGAGGCCAAACACTCACCTTATGCACTACAATCGGCGCGCTGCTTCTCTCCTCGCGCTTAATTGCTTCACCACGTTTTTCTAATTAGCGCGCGCGCGCTCGCTCTCTCACGCCGACCGTCTGCGTCCGAGGCAGCTTTCACTATGAAGCCATTCAGCCCGCGTTGACCCCATGTGTTGGGGTCCCGAACGAGAGCACAAAAGAAAGAGAGGTCTGCGACTCCTGCAGGCTCCTGCTTCCCTCCTCCTCCTCCTGCTGCACCTCCTCCACGTAACTCGGCCCCATTAAAGAACAAGAGGAGGCCCCTGAAACCTGAGCTGCCCGACTACCGTTCTGCCCTCACGGTGAAGAACCAGGGGAATCCTATAGGTCTTTGCAATGTCCCGGATAAACTGCTGTCTGGACACGAAAGGTATGTCACAACAGGGCAGCCACTTAGTATGGAGGCCGAAAAATGCCAAAAATTCTGTTTAAAAAAAAAGTAATTACAAGAAAAGAATTGTCTGGAAAGGCTGTGCAAATATTTCGTGCATTAAAAAGATTTTTTGGACTTGCCTATTCTTAATGCAAAATGTCAACAAGAGTTGCCTCAATGTAAAGGTAAAGGCCTTACAGTAATACAGCAATACTTTTTTTTTTTTTTTAAACCAAGCTAAATTGTTCTGATTTTCTGACCAATCAGATTGATGTATTTTGTAACAAGCGTGCTCATAGCTCAAAGTGTGCACAGGACTATGCGATGATGCAGAGATATAGAAATGGTAAAATAATACAGTTTTACCTCAGGCACAAAGCTAGATGCTGCTCCAGGTCAATCGGCTCTCTGAAATCATTTCTCTGCCTCTCAGGTGTGGTCCCAGCTCTGCGAACAAGATTTCAAACTGCCTCACTGACATCCTGAAATATGTCCAAAAGCAGCCATGATACATCTTCAACTCCTGGATCAAACTATGAAATTCTCCCGGCTGCTGCTTTGGCTGAATTCATAATCTCAGTTCTTTTACAAGTCCAGCTGAGGAATTGACAAGCTAACAGTACAGGGCAAATAGCAAACATGTATCTACAGTATTACATGGATCATGGGATTAAAACACACTTTACCTTCATCTTTTTCTTCCTCACCACATCAATGAACGATACATTTCTTTTAACCATGTCCTTCACATGTTTTGGTTTCTGTCTGGTCCTGGTCATGCAGTTGTGTCCCCAGAAACACTTAATTTTTTTCTATATTATTATTATTATCATTATTTTTATTGTTATTAAGCTTTTGCAAAAAAAAAAAAATCCTATTTCTTTTGTGTTTTATGTGCATTGGCAGCATTTTTCCTCTCTGAGCCACCATAGATCCACCGTAATTATTTATCTTTGTAATTAAGTTACATAGGTATTTGGCATAAGTTAAAATTATGACATAGTTTACATTTATTTTTTTTCTTTTTGTAAAGCAGCTGTCAAAAATAAAATGATTAATAAAGCAATCCTTTTAATCGGAACATTATAATCTTTATGGACCTTCATAAAGGCGTTTCTAATTACCTGGCACACATTTAAAGGAGGACTCACGTGAGACAGATTAGCACAGGTCAGAACTGGGGCAGAGATATGTTGGATGCTGGATCCAACCCTTCCCATAACACAGTTCGATAGCATCTCTCATCAGACCCTCATTTCCTGATAAGTGCCCCGCGTCTTTAAAGCTTCACGTCCAGTTCGAAGATCAGTATCTGCGGTTTCTAAACTCTCGTCTGAGATGACATCACTTCGAGAAGCCTTCAAAGCTCGCCGAGAGTCACGGAAGATTAGACAACTGTTACTGATTTTTGCTGTTTAAAATCATGGAAGGTCCCCTTTAAGTAAGGCCAAAGACACACCACTTGAGACATTTCTTCAGTTCGATTCTTGCTTATCTCTAAACGTTCTTGTTTGTTTTATGCAAAAACAAAAGCACACAGAGTGTAACATCACCATAATGTAATAGTTTGTCTTTCTGCTGAGGACCCCTGTATTATCCTCCTCCTGGACCACAGTTTGGCCTGACAGAGCACTGCGTGACTGCAGCTTTTACACGAGGAGGCCCACCATCCAAGAATTTAGTTGACTCGAGCATTCGGCAAAACAACAGATTTCTTGCTGTCATGCACAGTGCAGCTGTAGTGCTCCTGATTTACCAGAGGACCTGAAATGTTTGGAGGAGCCTGTGGGAAGTCGAGTCCAGCCAGATGTCTGCGCCGTGGCTCCATCCCAGCTCCCTTTCATACTAACTATCCTCTCCCTGCTTTCATCTGCTGTTCAAATATGGTGTTAGGGAGGCATGAACTCATTCGCCTGCACGTTTTATCCTTTTAAAGTGAATGGGATATATGCAAGATCGCAGAAAATATGACAAGAGACGTGCAGAAAATGACACTGGAGTTAGCCGGTTTCCGAAAAACTCATCACAGGGGTTGGCAACGTCTTTGTCGGGACTCAAAATTCCTGCTGACACCCCTGCAGAGAATATATTAACAGCTTTATTAAGGGAGGGACTCAGTACTAATAAAGAGCACTTTTAATTTCAGCCCACCTGCATAGTTGTGGCAGTAATTAAGTATCCGCCTCAGATGCTTTGTTGCCTCCCCAAAATATAAACCTTTCTGACATAAATTCATAGCATGCAATCATTATGACTCATGGGTTAGTCAAGGCTGACTTTCTGGGATCATTAATTTCACCACATTGTAAGCCAAAAACAGAAAACAGAAAGAAAAAAGAAGCAGAAGGGTCTTCAGTATTTCCTCGCAAAGAAGATGGAGGAGGCTCCGATCCTCAGGAAGAAAATGAACTGTAAAGGAGTTTACAGAGAAACAGAGACAGAAAACGGTTACCACATGGAGAAAGATAATAAAAATGTGAAATGCATGGCTTATTATGGGAATGTGAGTGTGGGCAAAATGCTCCCAGATGCCATATCAGAACCATAAAGTGGAATTAATGATGTACAGTATAACTTCACCATAAATGTTTTATGTGCCTCTCTTCTTTGCTTCCTTCTAGGCTATTTTTTCTTTAATAAGCCATTAAGAAGCTGCTTAAGAACTAGAAAACTCATTACTATAATCAAACTAACAACACCTCCTTAGTATAAGCTCACAAGTTGTTTCAGTACAGTTCAAATGCTAACATTGTTAGTGCTATTTGAAATCCACAGATTCCATCTGTACCGAAGCTGCAGTCCTAATGACCTTTAATTGCTTTGCTTCTTTTTAATTTGTGGACTGGGAAAGGAGGAGCTGTAACCTTTCTATATATCAGCTGGGAACACATTTTAACATCTTAAGCTGCAAGCATCTCTGCTGGTATGCAGCCTCTGCAATTGCACCTGAAATTACAAAAGTAAATAAAAGGAATCAACCACAAAATATGTTGGTGTTTATTGTTTGAATCAGATCAGACTTATAGGAGGAACGCTAAACCTGCTGCTCTTCACTGGTTTTGGATGGATTGGGGGGAGAGAGAGAGAGAGAGATGGGTTCCTCGGCCACGTGGCTGCAATTGAAGCTTGTCCAGTGCTTCAACAAGCATGTGCCCAGCACATGTAAAACACCAAAAAAAAAAAAAAATTGCACCTTGAAGGTGGTTAACTTTCACAGAGGTGAACCTGAACCAGTGGTGATTCCACAGTCTGCTGGGGCCCAGAGCACATACTAACAGGGGACCCCTCCAACCTCCGACTTTATCGTCTCTATGTTAGAAATGTTTAAATAAATAAATAATATCAATTTTTTTGACTGAACTGAAACGAAAAAAGAAACATGGATAACAACATAAGGAGGACTCTTTGGAGTAGAGTGCACTTACGATATAATACATTAAATGTGGGACAATACTGTGGCATTATCAGTCTTTGGAGTAAGCACCTTATCTTTCTCTTTTGCTACTGGTGCCAGAAAAATAAGTCAGTGATATAGTAAGGGATATAGTATAAGGTACTCATAACAACATGTTAATAACATTAAAACGTTTTACAGAATTCCTCAAATTCAACTTCTGAACGGTCTTCTTGGGTGTTTACCATCTGCCCATTTATCCACTTCTTCTGCCACTTATTCAAGTCTAGCTTGTGATGTGGCAGTCTAAGCAAAAAGGTCCTCCTTCTCCCCAGCCACCTCCTCCAGCTTTTCCAAGGGGACATTGAAGAGTTCCCAAGCCAGCTAAGAGATTTAATCTCTCCATGTCCTGGGTGCTGTGGCCTCCTCCTCATGCGACATGGCCAGGACGACTTGCCTAGGAGGTGTCCAAGTTAAATTATATCTCAACTCCCTCGACTGACTCCTTTCAGTGTGGAAGGATAGCAGCTCTACGTTGAGCTCCTGCCTACAGACAGCATTCAATCTATAGTGTTCACTGTTTTCTTTTGATAGCTGTGATGTAATAGTTCCAATACAGATGATTAAACTAATGTGCACTGTGGCTGCACTGTCCATTTAGAGTTTTACATGATGAAAAAAATACAGATTTTAGCACCATGAAACCACAAAGTCTGCATTAACAATACAGAAAATACAATAAGCACACCAGACTGCACATCCAGCACAATAATGTACAGTTCAGTACAACTTAGCGTAACTTCTAGTGCCCCGTCCAAATTTCTTTGAATCTAAATTTCATAACTTTCATCAGTTAATTATAAAAATGTGTTGTCTGCTGGGCCAAGGGCCCCCAGCAGTTGCCTACCTTGCCTGGTGGCCTCTGGTTTGGACTCACAGTAAGCTTCACTTTACAGGAACAAGCTCGACAGTTTGGCTTCAACTGACTAACGGGAAACATAACATAAACATCCTTAAACAATCAAGACTTGAAGACTTGACTTGAAGCAGAATATTATGTGCTGTCTTTTCTTCTCTAAATCAAAGTTTGTAGTTTCAAATAACGAGGTCACCATATGTGCAAGTTAATCCCTTCAAAGGCTTTAGTGAGTTCTAAACACTTCGTTTCAGATGGTTGTTTTCTACTCCCAGATCTATACGATGTCATCTCAGCCACACATCAACCATCCCTAGTTTAAGACTGTGTGGCGGCAGAAGTCACTGGGACGTTTGTATCATGAAGGACATGTGTAACTGCACTTTGCAGGAGGCAGCCAACCGTAAGTGGGAGGGTCCTTTCACACCATTGCACTGGCTCACATTAACTTCAGGACACATTTTCAGATTCTGGTTGTGACTTTTACATCCATACACCCCAGCAGGTCCCTGAGGTCATGTGACCAGAGCCTGCTGATGCTCAGAACTAAAGACTCCCACACTCTGGAGCTCTCTCGCTCGGAACTTCAGCTCCGTGGACTCAGTGACCTATGAGCTCAGAACTAATCTTTTTAAACTTCTCGCTCATATGTTTTTGGCATTTTGGTTGTGAAGAATTTTGAGATATTTATTTTTGAAAGATGCTATATAAATTAAATCTTACTCCATTTACTTTAAAATTACTTGTTTCAGACAGTATACATTTATCAGGTCACAGTTCGAGAAAAATAAGCACTACTTACGAACTGTGATTAGTACATCGCTACACTATTTAACTGCCTGGATAACACTGGTCTGGTAATGCGAGTAAACAGAATAGATTCCCTTTAAAACATTTGCTAACTTAAGTTTGAAGTAAGATTTTAGTAAAACACATTCAATACACTTCACATTTACAGTGCTGCTCCCTTATTTCATAGTTTTTGAATATTGGTCACACTTGCATGTTTCAGATCATCAAAGACATTTAAAGGTTAGATAACCTGAGTGAATACTAAGTGCAGTTTTTAAATGACAAGTTCATTTGTTGAGGGGACACAGTTATCCAGACCTACCTGTGAAAAAGCAACTGTCCCCTAAACTCAATAACTAACTGTGCCACTCTTGGCAGCAAGAACAGCAGTCAAGTGTTTGTGATAACTGGTAATGAGTCTTTTGCATCACTGCTGTGGAACTTTGTCCCACTCTTCTTTGGAGAATTGATTTAGCCACATGCCAAAGCATCTCAATCAGACTTAAGTCTGGACTCATTAGGCCACTCCAAAGCCTTAATTTCATTTTTTGAGGCATGCAGAGGTGGATTTGCTGGTGTGTTTTGGTTGATTGTCCTGCTTCATAATCCAAGTGTCCTTGGAGCAGAATTCATGGTTCCATCAATTACAGCAGGTCGTCCTGAAGCAGCAAAGCAACCCCAGACCACCACACTACCACCACCACGTTTGACTGTTGGTATGATGATCTTTTTATGAAATTCTGTTAGTTTATGTCGGATGTGAGACGAGCCTTTGTGATCTTTTTGGTCAGCAGTGGTTTTCTACTTAAAATCTGAACTTAACTGAGACAAGTGAGGCCTGCAATTCTTTAGATGTTGTTCTGGGTTCCTACGTGACCTACTAACGATGAGTCGTTGATGCGCTCTCGGAGTAATTTCTGTAGGATGCATGATAATGGCTCTTTAGGTGGTTCAGTGGTGTCTCAAAGCCTTAGAAATTACTTTGCAACCCTTTCCAGACTCATAGCTGTCAATGTCTTTGCCGTTTCTTTAGATTGTGGCAGGATGTGTTGCTTTTTGAGATCTTTTAGCCTGCTTCACTTATCAGACCGGTTCTATTAGGTGATTTCTTCATTCAGCAAGTTTGGCAGTAATCACACCTTGGTGTGGCTACAAAAAAATGAACTTCACTTCCAAACACATCACTTTCTTTAGTCACGTATATGCATGATTGGCATTACATTGATATAAAAATAAAACACAGTCTTCTGCATAAACCTGTTATGAAAAAAAAAGCACAGAAATAAATAAATTACTAATGACCTAATTACTAGACCTAAATTAACTGCTGACCTTTGCGGTAACTGATATGTACAGTTTCCCATTACAGTGGTTACATATGAACACAGCTGTAGACGTTCTGTCTTACAGCTTTAACCGATGTACAAACTAAATAAACAAGGATTCAGTTGAGATAATGTTTATCCATCACATTTACTGAATGATGACAGTGCCTGATGTCAAAACAGATTTTTCTCCCTGCCCTTGATAAATGCTCTGAAAACAAACCAATCAACCAAACCCGAATTACAAATTAAAATAAACATCTTTTTCAAAATGTTTAAACACGAGAAGTGCTACTGTTCACCGAACGTCTGAAACATCACAAGACCTTAATTAGGTGAAAACTGCGTGCAAATTCTTTGACGACAATGTCTTGAACCTTGGCCTTTCAGAGGCTCCCCCAGCCTCGTGTTGACCGCGTGATGCAAAGCACCCTAAGACGATGAGAGAGAAAAAAAAACGGACAAAGGCGGTTGACATATTCTAGGCTCAGCCTCTTGCATTACTTCCCTACAAATCCTAAGACAGAACATTTGTTTCACTCCCTTGACTTAATGCTTGTAACTCCAAACCTTCCCCCAAAATCTGCTCCATATTAGCTTGATGCTACAGACGATCAAAGAACAGCATGTGATGCATTAAGGTGCATTTCATTAGGACAACACAGCATCAACAAAAGAAACAAGGCACACTCCATTCCAGCTGTAGAAAAGTTCAGTGGGATGGTATCTGGAGGAAACATTATGCAACCAGTGCTTTTACAGGCTTGTGTGCCACATGAATGAGTGCAATCATTTCCAAGTTCTTGGCTTAAAGCAACAAGCGTAATGGGACCAGACTGAGTGCAGAGTGCGTAGAGAGAAAACAAAGACACACTCGGTCATGCTCACCAAACTTTACCCGGCACCATACAACTTTACAAAACACACACACACAGAGTCTATAACTTTTTCTCTCTTTGCAACCCCCCCACCCCCACCCCCACACACAAACACATTACGCCGCTTTGTCTTGCAGACTTGTGTGCAGTTTTACTCCAAACATGGCCTCCCACTGTGTTTTGACCCAGGCCAGCAGACCCTGGAGGAGCTCGCCACTCTCTGAGCGCACACACCACGTCCTCTCCTGTTTCACAGTCTGCAGGAAACACACACGGGAAAGTATGAAAATTAAAGCAGTTAATCACATGCGAGTTAAACTTGGCAGGGCCACAACCTATAACATGCTGCTGCACAAACAGAAGGAGAACGGCAGCAGAACTTTGTTATCAGATCTGATGTTGTCAAAGTAGCAAACATTAGAAAACAGCACTGCATTTTAGCCACTTACTGAACAGCAGTATGGTTAATTCACCGGTACGTACGCTGTTGGTAACAATAAACGTCAAATACAATGAGATTGTGTTCATCTTCAGTGAAAGTCTTATGTGTGATATGGTCGTCACAAAATACTGGGATGGATGATATCTGTGACATTTAATAAGTCCTCCACATAGACTTAAATGTATAATGGTTCTTTTTTTATGCTTTTCTACGATTAATATTTATTTATCTCCACATCCCTACACTTACACTGAGTGTAATTTGTTTAAATATAATAATAATAAAAAACAAATGAGGGCAAAGACTAAAGTAAGCACATGAACAATTAAACAGTGACTGATGTTTTTTACAGGTATTTTTACCACTATAGTAAAAAATAAATAAATAAATATTTCAATTTTCACATGTAGTAATTAAACTTTGGTGGCCTTTTATGTAACACAGATACAACTCTGATTAAAGTCAGAAGCTGCATAAAAAAAGTTGGTTAAGTGGTGGGTTGCAAAGTGGCTTGCAGTGGTAATAGGCTACATAATAGATCCTGATATTTCGGGATTTAAAAATCTGATATATTGCCCAATGGTTGTTTTTCTTAAACAAACAAACAAACAAACACACAAACAAACAAACAAACAAACAAACACACCCATCACGCCGCTTTGCCTTACTGACTTGTGTGCAGTTCTACTCTGAACATGACCTTCAACGACCTTTCTCCCATCTCTTTTTTAATTTTTAAAATTCAATAATGTTGAAGTCCAGGCTCTGGGGAAGCCAATCCATGACAAAATCTCCAACACCACTGACTGCAATGCAGCTCAAACCATGACAGAGCCTCCAACATGTTACACAGATGCCTGCAGACACTCACTGGTTTACTTCTCTCCAGACCACTGCAGGAAATACTGATAATGATTTGAACAAAAAGCGTAAAATTTGCATCCATCACTTCATCAGACCCGTTGCCACTGATGTTCGGTCTAGTTCTTGTGTACTTTGGCGTACATCGGACTTCTCTCCCCATTTCCCTTCCTTACAAACTGCTACTTCATAGACGTCTTTGACAAATTACAAGACAGTTTACAGCTCATTGGAATCAAAATATAAGGAAACAAAGGTTGGCCCAGGATTTCTGCACATTACTTTATGTCAAACCCCAATTTTAATGTAAACTGAGTGATAACATCTACCTGTTTAAGTATATCTTTACTTTATCTCCATGTCCAATGAAAATTAATTTCCATTGCTTCTACATACTGCTGTAAGAGTTTCCAACTTTGCCTCATAATCACTGACACAACCGCAGATTGCAGGTCTCATTTGTGCAGCATGAAAATATTTCTTAAGGTCTGGCAATGCCATATCTCATTTATGTTTTCCTAGCTGTTTTCAGATTTGATTCTCAGCCTTTGACCAGCCCGTATGAACTTGGAGAAAACTTTATCCCCGGTTCTAAATCACACAACGTTTTCTGACTTTATATTTCACTGTTGGAACACAACAAAATTTTTCCACAGTCAGACAGGCCTGCCAAAGTACCCGAAACAGACAGACGCACACACCCACACATGCGATCACAAGATTAAATCAATACTAACTTTGCAATTGTAGTTGCTAATAAAGACGAAGGAATGACACAAACATCCCCAACCGCCACGGTCAATTTAAAACCTCGAAATACTTCATATGCAAATACGCGACTGTTTTTGTAAGTCATTTTTGTTACCTATTTGTTGCTTTATCAGCCTGTTATTATTATAAAGTTTAGGATCTGCCAAAACACCAACGAGCCATTCATTTGTTTCCCTGAATCTGTATGCGAGTTTCATATGAGGAAAAACTAAATGTATGCCAGAACATGTTCCTGTGAACTACAGTTTCTGCCAAGATACATAACTAATAGAGCGGTATTACATTCATTACTGCTTTCTACCAAAGAGAGTGTTTGCATTTTCTCATGCCTAATTATTCCTCATCTCCCCGGTGTTTTTAATCAGCTGCATGCAAAAGAAACAAAAAAGGAAGCTTGTCTGGAATCAAACCAAAGATATATTTATTCTTCATTTCTGTGTAGTTTTGAGTGGCAGCTGTCTTCATGACAAGAAGCAGAAGCACATAAAGTTACTATAAGACTTTCTCATGACATTTCTGGGCTTTGTTTAAACTTCTGAGATCACACGCACCTCATCGTAAAGCTTTATATCCATCCTGCACTGGTCCACAGGCCACAGGAGAACTGAGCTCACACAGCTGATTGGCAGAGTTTCTAACACAGTGACGCTCCCGCTGCACGGTTCTTTGTTTTCATTCGCCGACGGGCTGTTTTTCCTCCACTGGTGATCCTCTCTGAGCAGATAGAGGGTTTCTCTAGTCGCCAGAACCGTCAACGGCATCCAGATATCCTCTGAAAGAAAGCCAGAAAAGTTTCACGTTATTTAAATAACTCCAAAAGTGCCATTATAACATATTCACACAGAGCTAAATCATATCTTAAGTCATCTCAGGTCATTCTATAAAGAACTGCAGTATTTTCTCCCTCGAGCAAGAGCAACACATTTAAACTTTACTGTTTTGAGCTTTGAGATTTTAACCTCTGATCTTGTCATATAAGCTGCCTTTAGAGGTCACTGATGTTAAAAGCTTTACAAAGTACTTTTGAACTACAAAGAAAAGTTATGGTGTTACATTTCATGCCAGAAAGCTGCATCTTCTGTGGGACACGTGGAGGAAGAAAAAAAACAGAGAGAAGTCAGATCCAGACATGTTAAAATTATAGTACTTGAAATTCCAGAGACCTACACAGCTCTGTGCAGCCTGCAGCTACCCCTGCTTTAAATGTGCCTGCTTTAGCAGAGCCAGTTAGGCGTCCTGCAGGGTCAGTATCTACCAAACTCACGCCAAAGCAGTCACCTGCCATCGCTGAGTAAAAACAAAAGATGTCTGCCTCATTTAAGGGCACAGGTTTGATTGTCGATAGGCATCTCACGTCAGCTACTCCCCACGGGTGTGGGGGTTGGGGGGGTTTGAGGTGGGGGGCTCTTCCTGCCATAATCTACTTTTATCTTCAAGGAAATAAAACCTTGTTGCCATTTCATTTGTAATTCTCCCCTTTAGCACATTATCCTGGCATTTATTCCTGCAGTAATTCTGGGGGTGCAGAAGTAGCGTCAGGGATTTAATTGGGCCAAGATTCCTTACTTCTGGCTAAAACCAACAGTTAGGATTTAGCTTTTTCTCCAGCTTGTAAACTAAATTACCTCAATACAAAAACCTCACGACAAACAACACTAACATAAAGAGATACACTCACCAGCCACTTTATTAGATAAACCTGTTCAACTCCTCATTAACACAAACATCTAATCAGCCAATCACATGGCAGCAACTGAGTGTATTTAACCATGAAGAAATGGTCAAGACAGCCGCTGCAGTTCAAACTGAGCAGAACTGTCAGATCACCTTTTTCAGCAGAATGGTCAAAAGGTGATTTAAGTGACTTTGAACGTGTCTTGGTTCTTGGTGCCAGACAGGCTGGTCTGAGTATTTCAGAAACTTCTGCTCTGCTGGGATTTTCCCATACAACCGCGTCTAAGGTTTACAGAGAATGGTCTGAAAAAGAGAAAATGCCTAGTGAGCAGCAGTTCTGTGGGTGAAAGTGCCTTGTTAATGCCAGAGGAGAATAGCCAAACTGTTTCAAGCTGCTAGGAAGGCAATAGTAACTCGAATAACTACTACTTGTTACAACCAACGTATGCAGAGGAGCATACCTTGAAGCAGATGGGCTAAAGCAGCAGAAGACCACACCCATTATGGTCTCCTGCTGCTTTAGCCCATCTGCTTCAAGGTATGCTCTTGGGTGTGGTCTCCTGCCATCAGCTAGAACAGGAAACTAAGGCAACAATTCGCAGACTCACCAAAATTGGTCAATTCAACACTGGAAAAATGTTGCCTGGTTTGATGAGTGTCGATTTCTACAGCGATACTGAAATGGTAGGGTGAGAATTTGGAGTAAGCATGCACGGAATCGTCCTGCCTCGTATCGACTATTCAGGCTCGTGGTGGTGTGGAGGATATTTTCTTGGTACACTTTGACCACCTAGTACCAAATGAAGATTGTTAAAACACCTTACCCTGCCTGAGTATTGTTGCTGACCATGTCCATCCCTTTATGACCACAGTGTACCATCTTCTGATGGCTGCTTCCAGCAGGATAACACACCATGAAACCTCAAACTGGTTTCTTTAACATGACAATGAATTCGCTCTACTCAAATGGTCACAGTCACCAGATCTCAATACGATCGAGCACCTTTTGGATGTGTTGGCAGTGAGAGAGTGTTCCCTGGAACACTCTCTCACAGTCTGTTCTCTAAAACCTAAAAGAGGATTTATGGATTTGATCAACTGGTCTCTGAATGCAATTGACGCCCCTTCTCAACGAGAAGTCTGGGCTCGGGTGAGCCTGACTGCTGAAGATATCTACCTATTCGGAACCATGATAACAGGGTTCTTGCTGATCGGAGCTGGCTTGGCCCTGGCTTATCGAAGAATTAAGGAAGCGGAACCGGCTGTTCAAACCCCCACAAGGCTGCCCGCTGGGATTGAAATGATGGGACGAGGCGTGAGTTTCTCAAAACGGGCTCATTGAGTGCAGCATGGAGAAGATCTTGGAGAACGCACGGCTGCTGTGAATACTCAGAACAAGATCTCTGAGTGAAAAACTGGATTACATCTGGAGGGGCTAGCTCGAATAACACCTTTGAGCGCAAATTGGATCAAATCTTGGGGAAGTGCATTGCGGTCGTGAGTTCTCAGGACCTGCTCTTTGAGCAAAAAGAATGACAACATCACGGAACGTAAGTTTGGATAATATCATAGAAAGCTCACGGCTCTCCAACGGAAGATTGAGAGACCAGTGTTGGACTGTTAGAGCAGCTTAGAAATTCATATAACCTGTTCGCACTAAAGTAAAAAGCACCATCACTTCATGCGGATACCCTCTTGGTGCCAGCTGCGGTCGCAAGGCTGGAGCCGATCAAAAAACACCCTGATAACGACTGTGTTTAGACTGTTCCTTCCCATTCCATGCAAGGCCAGCTGGGTTGGCTGGAAGACTGTTTACTTAGCCTAGCAGGGCGAAGGACACTGTCTCAGCTGAACTCTGGACACGCACACACGGAGTTATTTTTTTCTCCTCATCTTTCCTCGTGTGGTGCATTTTCCATTGTTAGACCTCTCTGACCTGTCTTCCCCATGTGATGTTTTGTGTCATGTATGTATGGTCGGAGGGTAAGATGGCGCCGCCATTGCGTGCAATAGGTCGGCAGCCTTATGAAATTATGAAATTTCCCCTTGTGGGACTAATAAAGGTATATCAAAATCAAATCTAATCAAATCAAACTGTCTAAAGCTATCATGTCAATATGGGCCAAAATCTCTGAGGAATTTTCCAGCTTGTTGAATCTATGCCATGATGAGTTAAAGCAGCGCTGAAGATAAAGGAGGGTCTAACTAGGTACTAGCAAGGTACCTAGTTATCTAGTGATAACTGATAGAATTCTAGAACGGAAGCAAACTCTGTGAGATAAAAAGAAACAAACAGAAAAATAGAGTAATAAAAACTCAAGTCAGCAAAAAAAAACAAACTTATGAACAAGTGGATGTGTCACCTTGTAGGACAAAAGCCAGAACATAGAAGAACTGCAGCTGTCCATCCTCCACATCTGCCTGGATGTCTTCGCACACTAAAGGCCTGACAGATCAGACAAAGTCCAGTGTTAACATGACATACAAACACAAACAAAAATCTCCTTCAGTTAAAGATACAATGGCATAAACACCGATTTGTATAAAATAACAGGGCGGTTTGGAGCCTTGTGGCTGATAGGTGTGAGATTGAAGGGCTTCAACATCCCAGCGTAAAGTTCACAGTGACTCTGAAGCAAAGGGGATAATTAACATAATGACAGCTGACAGGAGTAGTGTTGTGCAAACACTGGAAGTGAGACTGTGGTTTGCTGCCTCAGAACACATGAAGGTTTGTTTGTATTTTTTGATTTTGTGTTGTGAAGCCTGGAGGAAAAATGACAAATTGGGAGATTTAAGGCCTTATTGTGTTGGCACCTGAATGAATTTGCTAATCTACTTAACAGGCACTTAACAGGCTTGGTTTCTGTCACTGTCAATGTATTTTTTTAAGCTAAAGAGAAAAGAAAGTATTTATTTATGTTCTCTAACTTGGAAAAAAAAAATTCTTCCAGGATGTCTAAACTGCCTCATATACTTACACAGTTTGTGTGTATGATTGAAAAGTTGGATTATTCACAGCACGTTTGTTTTTTTTTGCAGGTTTATGGGAGGGTTTTTTTTGTTTTGCATGTTTCTTCCCTGAAATCATACTTTCATGAGCTAAACCACATTCCTTTTCAGTGAGCACCCAGGAAAAGCTTCTATCTTCTGAGTGAGAAAGGAAAACATACAAATAAAGGTGCAGAAACACTACTGGCACTGTTAACAAACTACACGGGGGACATGCATGCTCTAGGACTTGCAGAGCAAAACACATGTTACAAATTAAGATGTGGTTTACCAGCTAATTTAGTGGAGCCATTTTACAAAATGGAGTCTAAAAAAAGCTGATTGTAATCAACTAAAGATGTGTCAGAAATGTGCAGCGTTAGAACTTCTACTGCCGTAACTCCCTTTAACCTACACGGCCCAACCACATACAAATGTGCACAACACTATTCAGACCACATCTTTCAGCATCTACGCAAATAAAATCAAAGACGCCTGCTGTTTTCTCACTGCATCCAGCGGGTCCTCCCTCAGCAAAAGTAGGCGTGCAGATGCAGTGTGGGTGCGTACCAGAGATGGTGCTCAGGGGTGAGCCTTGTGGTGGAGATCGACTTCAGCTTGCTCTCTGATTTGTGAGCCATCTCACGCACAATTCCTGAAGAAACGGCAAGAAAACAATTAGTAGTGGTGAAAGAATTACCCGTGAATATTCCCTCTCACCCAGGTTTTTACTAGAGTTGGCTTGCACTGTTAATTATTTTATGCTGCATCTTGGTGAGCTCCCTCAGTTCATCCTACCTGAAACAAGCCATTTTAGCACTTCTCCCTTTAACTCTTTAGCCCCCGAAAGCCTCCTAAGAGTAACCCTTGAAGCTCTTTTATGAACAGTTGTTTCTGTCGTATTTCAGACCTCCTCATAGAACAGAATTACTGGGTGTGCCTGAGAAGATAGTGAGGGTGGTCTCTGCCTATGCAGCCATCCTTGGATAAGTCCACATGCTATTCCAACAGTCATCAAACCACGTGTTTATTGATATATACTGAGGTGTTAAAACTTGTCATTAAGTGTACAGGGGCAGGTTGCCAAATATCATCTTTCTGTGGGAAAGTTAAAACCTTTCAATAGTTCTGCATTTGTTCAGGTATTTGAATATGCAGAGCTTAGGCAGAGGGGTATGCAACCTACGCAAATGTGGTTATATGCAGTGTTCCAAAAAAACCCCCAAAGCATGTAGCTTAGTATCGATGATGCTGTGCATGGGTACATGCTTATTGGTTGGAAGGCAACAGGATGAAAAGAACGGATGAAAGGGAGTTCACCATGAATGGGAGAAGCATGAAAAAACACCAAAGATTACAAAAAAATTGCATGAGAAGCATCAAGAGTGGCCGCAGTCATTTCATTGTTTTTAGCATTCAGTTTCACTTCATTTCAAATGTATTTAAATAGAAACAAACAACAACAGTCACCTCAAGGTGCTTTATCTTGGGAAGTAAAGACCCTACAAAACAGAGAAAACCCCCAACAATCAGATGAACCTTGCGAGGAAGCACTTTGCGACAGTGTGAAGGAGAAACTCCTCTTTACCAGGAAGAAACCTACGGCAGAACCAGGGTCAGGGAGGGGCGGCCATTTGTGTGCTCCCTCTGTGACTGACCAACAAAAGTACAAACTGAGGTTTTTTCAGCATTCTGAATATGTAATCTGTTAAGATTTGGGTTTATATTTGTGGAAATTTTTAAGATGTCAATTTTCATTGTGGGATATGATGCATTAGGGTCATTTTAGGTGACATTTGCAAAAGAATTCCAGAGGTGGAAGAGCTCTAGTATTCGAAAAGAAACCACAGAATTTCTGAGATGAAACTTCCACATATAAAGCGTGCCACTCAGTGTCCATCGATGTATCGCAGAGTTCATCATTAATGGACAATCCAGGCCCCCGTTGCCTAGATAATCCTCTAATTTATTGATAGGTCAATATTGACAGTATCCTTTGTTCGCACTGGTAGTTGCTTCATTTGGTTATCTTAAGTTTCAGGAGGTGTATTTGTCATTTGTCTGACATGTTCCACTTAGCACATTAAGAAATATCCAACCACCAAAAATTCAAAAATGGTTCCAATACTCAAAAAATGTAATGAAGGTTGAATGAAGATTAAGAGTCTGAAACCTCAACCTTCCCAATCAAAGATCTATTAGTCTATTAAGATCTATTAAGATCTATTAGTCGCTGAAAATTACTTAAAATTTCTTAGATTCCTTCTGAACATGACATGTGACCATTTCAGCAGTTTACAGCTGGCTGGTTTACAGCTTGTTGAATCAGCTAAGAGGGTAGCACTCCTCTGTTCTCACTTCCCTGAGGCATTTTAGATGAAGTTGACAGATTTGGGGGTTTAGGAACATTTAACAGGAGAAAGCAATCAGGTGAAAGGATACAAATATTACTTCTAAACTTGTAAACGTGTACTATCCTAGAAATGTCACACCCAAACTTTCATGGAAAGAAGTCTAAAGACAAAAGTGGAACCCAAGCCGAAACTTCTTCTGGTAACTGTCATAAGGTGCAGGTGTTAAATATCAGCACCATTGAATCAGTGGTTGAGAAAATGCTGGGAACACAATCTGCCGGGTCATGCCAACAGTTGTGAATTGTGGCGTATCATTGAGTGTGACTACAACAAAGGGAAGAAATGATAACTGGGGTCAAGTTTGAATAGATGAGATTTCAAAGATTTAAAGAGACACTGAGGAGGAGACGGAAAGAAAGAGGACAAGGCTCAGTTACAGCCGAAGGAACATAAAATGAGGGCAAAACATGCTTTCCTTTATTAAAAATGTGAAAATCAGAAAACAAAAAGTCTTATCTAATTTTCATCTATGTTACAAAATGACACCATATCCCCAAAAGTTCATCGACAGTTTGGTTCCTTAATTTCAACAAAAACATTGTTGACATTTAATAAAATGATTCTAAAAATATACACCAGCTTCTAAAAGGTGTGTATCAATCTATAATGTTTGATGTAATGAAATGTTTATTCATACTGACATTTCAGTAAGCATGAAGAAAGATTTAGGGTTCAGAAACCAGTCGTGACACTGGCCACACACACAGTTTTTACATTCCTGATAAATTTCAATGTTAAACAATCATTTTGAACTAATCAGTGCTTATAAACACATAATTCACCTCTCAAGATTAAGTGCCACAAAATTAGATCAGCATTTTATTTTTTGTTCTCATATATTTGTAACCACTACCTTTTTTTTTAAATCCAAAAGTTAGTGGTTACCACTTTGCACGAGAACCCATTTTCATTTCTTAAACAAAAATAAAAAAAAGAAATAAGAAAAGAAAAATCATATTTAGTCATTAAATCTAATTGTCGAATTGTTTAAAATCTTGTGGTTTATCAAACTCCGTTGCCTTTGGATAAAAAAGGTAAGGTTCTTGCCCCGCTTTGTGTCACGTGTCTGATGTTTTTCAAGACTGTGCATAGTTTTATTCGTATTCATTTATTTTAATAATTTCCTTAAAAAAAGTTTCAAAATATTTTGGACAAAACTGACAGATGGCTCAGTTGCTTTCACGAAAATCTGCACTGGCCCCGGGTCAAAGTTTCCCCACACTCCTGGCAGTGTTTAGCATGTCTGAGGGGAAGCAGTGAGCGTTAAGACTAACAACGAGATTAAATAACGTGTTAACGTGGACAGTTTAGCAAGGTGCCATCCAAGGCCGCAATCAGGAGTAAGTAAAGGTGACAAGCAGAGCGTGTTAAGAACCAAATCTGAAACAAACAGACTTTCACTAGAGCTCTGCTCTGTGTCAATATTGCTGTGTGGCTGCTTCCAACAACAACACCCCTGATCATTTTCACATGATATCAAATACCAAACCACCGTCTGATACGTTAGACACTCGGGACAGGAAATGGGTAAAGATTTGATTTTCTAATTCCAGTTTCCAAAGCAACATCTCTCTCTGTTGATACGACAACTCGCACCAAATCTTCTACAACACGGTTTGATTGCAACAGTGAACATTAATAGAGTCCTTCAAGCGTGAGAAAAGACCTGGCAGACCCCCCCACCCAAAAAAAACACCCCAAAAAACACTGGGCCGTAGATTCCAGAGGTCTTGTGTTATCTCTCCTGTTTCAATAAAGTTGTGTCAGACTAGGTTGGAGAAAGAAGCTCTAAGCTCCAGAAAACTGTCCCTGTTATAACCACATCCTTCCTCTGTCTTCCAGGCAGCGAGTCCATCGTCATTCCAGTTGTGGTTTCGAAAAAACTTTGTCCACATGAAAGGAGCCAGCTTGGACAACAGTCAGACTTTGTTATGGTTAAGCTTTTCCGTATTTCTCCTGACAAAATATTGCAACAGCTGTTTTCGGGGTTAATTTGGCAGTGGCATCAGAGAGTTTGTCATATTAGCCACTTTGTTTTCAGGACAGAAATAAGTACAGCCTTCGTATAATTCACATGTAGGTGTCTAAAGCAATGAGAAACATCGGGATTCATTTGTCTTTTGAGCACCTGGAAGGATACAAAAAGATCTTATTTGTGGGTTGTTGGTTTTTTTTCTCTACTCCGTCTGCTTTGTTTTGGAGACATTCTGGTCTTGCTGAAAGCAATCTGGAATTATTTTCACCCACAAAGAATACAACGCAGTAAATGAGCGGTTTATGGACTTAAAAAGAAAATGCTGTTAGTGGAGAGACAAAACTTCAAGGAAGAGGGAGAAGAAAGAAGCAAGTGGGATGCCTAAAATGTTCCTTGATCCTGGTCAGTGAGAGGATCAAATAAGTTCATAAATACTCTCATATATGTGAGTGAGGCTCGAATTTAGCTTTGGAAACATTCGTCATACAAACATATTTAGATAATGAACTGCCTTTTTGTTTCAGTACATTACATTGAAATGTTTCTTCTGTTTTTTTGTTGTTGTATTTTTTACTGAAAGATGAAACCAGAGTGAAAATTGAAGATAAATTATTTTAATATAATGACCAACCACTAAATGCAACTCTTACAAAAGCGCGTTGGTAAATGAAACCAAATTGTGGTAGCGACTCTCAGCAGAAATTCAGGACTATTTTGGCTAAAATATATACCCACTACTGTGGCAGGAAGCCTTCAGAGAATTACTTGCAAAAGGGAAAATCTGCCCACTTTTGATAATTGGCAGTTGTTTCAGACCCTTTCTATAAGCGATGCGAGCAAAATGTCAATTTTTTTAAAGGTTTTTGCCTTTTTAAACATTCCTTTGAAAAGGAAAAATAGAGCATTTATAAAAACAGATTACCCCTTCCTCTTAAAACAATATGTAAAAAGATTTGATATGATCTGAAATAATTACACTTGTAGCCTCAAAATTATGTTGCAATGTTTGAAGGATACAGTCCAATATAAGTAAATAGGTCAGCAAAACTCACTTCTCTCTGATGATAGCAATACTGAGGTGACATCTTGAGGATATCATGGACTTTTCTGTCAGTAAATGCCAGTGTTTTTGCCCCTGTGAGCTGCTATAGGCCTATGTTAGCTGCTGTTAATGAAACTTTATTTTTGGATCTAACATTATTGGACTTGGACACTTAGTGAATAAACTCGATACTCGACAGACACTCCAGCCTAACATTAGGCAGGCTAACAATGAGCATATTTATGCATGTTTATGTGTTAGAGCCCTGAATTCAGTTCAAGAAATGAGGCTTGAGGTGAGAAGGAAACGCGTGCCACATATTTGACCGGTCTCTAGCCACAGACATGCGGTAGATTATGTAGAACGGTGATGTCCATCTTGGCCACTATATTCAAGATGGTGGGACAGCTTTGCAGCTTCAACAAAGCAGCGCCTATAACCGTGTCAACCAGCTGGCAGCCAGTTGAGTTGTGCTCATTGACAAAGACTCATTCAGATTGATTGCAACATGTTGGCAATCTGTCTGTATTTATAAACTCCACACCAATTATTTGAACTTGAACAATCTCTTTGAGAGTGATTGCAGTTAACAAAAGTGGTCGTCAGTGTTGAATACCCTCCAGCTCTGTGTAACCATTTAGTCACCACACGTGGTAATCGGTCACAGAATGTGAAAAAATTCAACACAATTAAAAGGCAGCCATCGGTTTTGTTTGTAGTTGTAAGGAGAATGCTGTCCTACTTTTACTTGTGACTGAGCCATTAGCTTGGTCTGAATTAGGAGGTAGCTTTGCTATGCTAACTGTATCCTGTCCCAGGTTGTTGTTCAGTTAAGACTTCTACGTGAACAGAAATCAAAACAAGTAAATAAACTGAGCAAGATCCTTAAAAAGTCCATATACAAAACACATCTCGTGCTTTTTTTCCCACATCCATCAGGCTTGATCTGTACAAACATCAGGGACCATCCCTCTCTGTGCTGTTTTAATTGTAATTTTTGTTCGCATGGGTTCAATATCAAAACGTTACATGTGCTAAAACTAAGCGTCGATCCTATTCCACACATGCCAAAATGTTTTTCTGTTTTTCTCCAAATGTTTAGGGGCTGGTAACTGTCAAATTGATTTTCCATATTTCTCCAGACATTCCAAAGCCCAGGAAGAAGTCCCTGTATAATAAAAGGTTTTCCTCTCAGCCTCTGGTCCTCTCAGTCAGACAAGTTGGTGTGGTGATGTGCTCAGTCTGTGGGAACCCAATACTGAGGGGGACGGGTAGAAATTTGCGTCACAAAGCACACATATGGTATAGTATTACTTTGTGGCGGCGAGTGGGTCTGTGACAGGGAACATGTTGTTCAAATGTCTGCCTCAGGGACGTAACACAGCCCTCCAACTTTTAAAATTAGGTTAACTGTGTTTAATCTTCCCTCACTGTGCCCTGAGGTTAATCCTGAACCCAGTGTAACCAGTAAACACAGCGAGAACGGGACAGTCACATTGTCTTTCTGACTATATTAACAAAATAAAAACTTCCATACAGTTTCCTTTTATTCTGTGGGGTTTCTTTTTTACCTGTTAAACGGCCAAAGAAGCGTTTGCACCGCACGCTGTCCCTCACGAGTAGCGTGTAGGCCACGCCCACATCTTCAAACTCCATGTGGATGCTCTGAGAGCCCAGCCCCACCTCCAGGTATCTCAGCTCCATGATTGGGTAGCTGTCCCTTTTCTGCAGCCAATTGGTGAGCTGGCCTCTGCTGGGAGGAAACAACATGAGGCATCAGGAGGTAAAGAAAATGTCCTGCCTCGCTGACCTCGATTAAACAGTTTACGTGATGTCTGACACTTGTAATCCGTTTGTAAAAGTCAGAGTTTTGTTAGTACAAATCACATCAGTAACTTATGTAATGCCTCATTTTTCAGGACTTAGGACACCGGGTCAAATCCATATTAACAGTCTGGTTTCCGAGACAGTGCCAAGAACAAGAGAATTCAGCACCTGCAACATGCAGTACATAGCAACTTTTGACGTCACCTTGGAAGAGCATCAGAGGAAAAGCTGATGTGTGAGGGAAGTCGACCTATTATGGCCAACAAATTTCTCACAGAGGGGAGAAAAACAGAAAAGAGCCCAGGGACTGCAGACGCTTTGAGATCAATGTGTTTTCAAGATGTGACCTAGAAACAGGTTATTCTGCTGGGCAGGTTGTGCAATATTAACCAGATCCTAATCAGAGGGTGCTGAGTTTTTCACCACCATCACAACACATAATTGTTATCTGCCACGTGGTTGCATGGAAAAGTCAGCTTTGAGGACGCTGCTTAAACTTGTCCTTAAGTGGCTTTGATTTAATCATCTTTTTATCTGTTTCGGTTTTATGGTCGGCATACCCCTGCTCTTGGGGAAAGTCTTCACACTTGATTCAACGTAAATCAATCACCCAGGCACTGGAGATACCACAAAGCTAGAAAAAGCGCTGAGATCGTTTTTGTCATTAAGGTCTACATAAAGTACTAAAATAAAACTGCAAAACTCATAGTATTGCCATCACAGTTCAAACAAGATACAATGAATGTAAGAAAGCAAACAAATATGCATCATACAGTGTCTTGAAAATGTACTTGCCCCGTCCTGATTTATTGCTGCTTACCAAGCAAATTATAATATTAGACAACAATAATCCAAATAAGTACTAAATGCAGTTGGTAACTGACAGTTTCATTCATTAAAGGAAAAGAGTTATCCAAACCTACCTCGCTCTGTGTTACAAGTAATTGCCTTGCATTGTAAAATCACGAATAAAGTGGGATTCACCACATTTTTAGAAAGCTGAGTTCAGTTTCACTCCCCAATCTCAGGTCCGATTACTGACAGACCTGTTGAATCAATAAATCACTTAAATAGAGCCTGTCTGTTAAGTGAAGTAGGTGAAATGATTTCAGAACCAACACGTGATGCCACAATCTAAAGAAAGAGCTGAGAAACAAAGTTACTGACATCTTTCAGTTTTTACAAAGCCATTTACAAGGCTTTGAGACTCCAGTGAGTGAGAACCATTATACACAAAAGGAGAAAACTTGGAACAGGCGTGAACCGTACCAGGAGTCACCAGCCCCCAACAGCACATCAACGACTCATCCAGGAGGTCACCAAAGAACCAGAACAACATCTAAAGAACTGCAGGCCTCACTTGTTAAGGTCAGAGTTCATGATTCAACAATAAGACAAATACTGGGTAAAAATGGCATCCATGGGAGAGTTCAAGGAGAAAACCACTGCTGACCAAAAAGATCACAAAGACAACGTCTCACATTTACCAAAAACATCTTGATGATTCCCAAGACTTTTGGAAAATATCCTGTGGACTCATGAGACAAAAGCTGCACTTTTTGGAAGGTCTGAGTCCCGTTACATCTGACATAAAACTAACAGCATTTCGTAAAATGGACATCATAGCAACAGTCCAGTCAAACATGGTGGTGGTAGTGTGACGATCTGGGGCTGCTTTGCTCAAGTAAGGAGAATCCTGAAAGAGGATGACTATCAGTTCAGTTCCTGAAGCACCTCTGAATGACTCAAAAATTTTTTTTTTAAAAATCCCAAAATGAGGATTTTAGGGTGGCCTAATCAAGTCTGGATTCAAATCCTGAACTTAAGATGCTTTGGCATTGACCTTAAACAGCATGTCCAATGTGGCTGAATTGAAACAATTCTGCAAAGAAGAGAGGGCCAAAATTCCCCCACAGTGACGTGCCAGTTATTGCAAACTCTTGATTCCCCCCCAGGTCTAAATAGCTTTTTTCCCTTAAATGAAATCATCATTTACAAAGTGCATTTTGTATTTACTCAAGTTATATTTATATTATATTAAAATTTGTCTATGATCTGACTCTACTGACCAATCATACTGGAGCAAGCTTCGGTTGCAGAAGGAAAGGTAAGACTACAGTTACTGAAATACAATCTTGAAATGATTGCCAATCATCTGATGATGATTTAATGTTTTGTTAGCTTTTTAAGATGCTTTTTGCATCAGAAGCAGAGTAGTTGATGGGTTCCAAGACGGCACTGACGGTCATTCATGTTTGCTTTCTCTGTAGTGTTGTTTTTTGTTTGAACAAAAACTTTGTGATTTATCTGGAGCTTTAGAAACTCTTGTCCCCAATTCTGTCACTACAGTTCGTCCCCTCTTCACCGCTACCAAACTAATCACTACTGGCTGAAGTGAAACACATGTGGGTAAAGGATGCTACAAAACTCCATTATGCTGGGAAACACAGAGATTTACTTGGGAAAGACTGGCTTAATCAGCTTTGTGTGAACAAAATTGCTCTACTTACTGCAAATCTGATGTCATTTCCAGGAAATAAATACGTTGATTTGAGACAACCAGCAGCGAGTGAATCTCCCCAGGTTCTCCAAATTTGACAGCTGACATCTGAAAGTCCAGAGAAAAACAAGCAAACAGAAGGGGGTAAATGACAAAAAGCTGGAAAACACTGACCGTCTTAGCAGAAGAACAGAGAGGCTCTCCTGTGCTGATAAACTCTTTTACAACATTGTAATGAGCACCATAAAGTCAACAATAAACTATTAAACAACCACATTATCAGATGAAACCAAGCTCTGTAAGTTTTCTTGTATCATTTCCTCCAATATAACGCAAGAAGTAAGAGAACAAGTGAAAAATGGAGCAGCCCCTGTCACTGGGTAAATAAACATAACCAAGATGAATGGTGTGTGACTTCCTGTTTCCAGCTGCTTGGTCCTTTTTGCTCTTTGTACAAGTGTCTCATAGAGACAAGCAACAGCCTGGTGATTCGAAGAAGTCTCAAACAACATTTAATGACGACAGCAGTGCACAAGCTACACAAAGGAGCCAAAGAAGAGGAAGAAGAAGAAGAAGAAGAAGAAGAAGAAGAAGAAGAAGAAGAAGAAGAAGAAGAAGAAGAAGAAGAAGAAGAAGAAGAAGAAGAAGAAGAAGAAGAAGAAGAAGAAGAAGAAGAAGAAGAAGAAGAAGAAGAAGAAGAAGAAGAGGAGGAGTGGGGCTTCAATGGGATCCTGGGAGATTTACTGTCAGAGTTCGTCTTGGCTGACTGAGATGAAACCGCAGATGAAGGGTAATAGGTCTTAAAGTTGTCACCAGCTATTAAGTTGGAATTTTTTTCACCCCACTGGGGAGATAATCTAAAGTTTTTTGGGTTTTTTTCCCTTTAAAACCACAGTCACAAAAGAAACAATAACACCGACATATAAAAACGCTGCACTGCCAAAATTGAGCGATCAGTCATAGGCTGCCATTGCCGGCAAACTTGTGCTTTAACACAGAGTCTGGAAACAATAGTGTTTCCTGAATTACACTAATGCCAGTAAAGATTTAAAGACCCTGAAAACATATTTTCTCAATCTTCTCTTTACTGTGAATTATGAAACCATACAATAATACATTTTTTTCTTTGGTTTTTAAGCTCTAAGCTTTGTCCCCTCTGTGTGAGGCTCACAAACCTTAAGGAAAGAATGAAGTTCTTCTTCTTCCTCAAAGACTTCTACATCCAGGAAAAGCTTGAGCCGATGGTCCACCACCTCGTAATCCTCAGACAGAAGATCCAAATCATCTAAAAAATATATATGACAAAAAACAACTAAGTCATGATAAGTTACAAAGTAAATAAAATCAGCTTTGTATTTATGCTTTCAGATGATTCTACATTAATATCGTTATAGCGTAGCTTCCTGGAAACACTGGGAAGCCATGCATTCAGTATTTCTTGGTTTTTATGAAACCATATTCAGAGTTTACTGTAGCAGACTGCAGCGCTGGCCAACAGCCCTCATGCAGAAAGGCATTTAAGAGCAATAAATCCACCAAAGAACAGCAACAGAAGTTATTAGAACTGTGATGGATGGTTGTAGCTGATCAAAAACAACAGGGCACGGATCTGCAGAGACCAAAGCTGAGGCCTTTGATTTGAGAAGAGTGCAAACAGAGATCTGATTAAAACAGCCTTTGAACTTTCAGATAACTGCTTTTAAATGGGGAGAGGTGCATGCACACACAAGCATACGCACAGGTTGACGAGTCTTTAGAGACCGGTTGAAGAGGTGCTCTGGAACAATGGATGCACTGTGTCGCTAAAAAAAAAAACCCAAACAAACCCCATATTCAATGTGTGTCAGTGTTTTGGGATGAGTTCTCCAGAACAAAACTGCCATTTCAGAAGGACAGATTACATGGCTCTGCAACTGCAATCTCACAATTGGAAAAAACACAGAGGAAAAAAGATACAGAAAGCTATCATTACGACTCGGCCTTCCCTCTCTGAGGCTTTCATTCCTCTCCCATCACTTCCAGCAATGACTCCAATCTGTCTTGTTGCACATTTACCATGTGGTTCATCTAAAAATGGCAGCCAGATGTGTGTGTGTGTGTGTGGGGGGGGGGGGAGTCAGATGCTGTCACAGAGATACAGAGCAGCTCAGAGGATTTCTGTGCCACACAATATTCATAAATATTTCTCAGTCTGCGCTCACTTTCAATTAGGACTTACATCTGTCTTTAGCAAAGGCAGTAAAGCCGATGTAAACAGTTTAAACCACATGCCACTGCTGATGTGTTTTACAATGACCACGCGAAGTGCAGAATTTGAGTTTGAAGCAATAAAACTCCACTTATATTTTACTGCTGTTTGGCTTGTTCTTCAATAAACAGTGCTGCCAACAAAGTTATTTTAGATGTAAAAATGCATGTATGTGTATGTTGGGTATGCATGTCAGAATTTCACTTGGGTGCGGTTAAAAGGTGCATGTTTAGCTGTATTGTTTTTAAAACTATACTACCGGCTAACAGCCGAAAGGTTTAAAGCATGACTCGAAAGAGTTCAACCACTACTCTTTATGACAAGCGCTCGCTCATCCATCCAAAGATGTGCACTGTGCCTGCAGTTAACTGATAAGAAGAGTTGACATTTGAGGTGAAGTGATGCTTTTATTACTAAGCTCTTCATTTCTCTTTTACGACAACAGAGTGTTGGAATAGTGACTATAAAATGCTCTACAAGCCTAAGATACAGTGCTGTGAAAAAGCCTTTGCCCCCTTTTTGATTTCTTAGTTTTTTGCATGTGACGCTTATATGTTTCAGATCAAATAAATTCTAAGTTTAAGGTTTTTTATTTACTTGGGTAATCTTTGTCAAGAATTAAAACTTGTTTAATGATCGGAAACATGACAAATATCCAAAAAATTGCTAAATAAGGAAGGGGACAAATACTTTTTCATAGCAGTGTATACAAAAGCCACAGTGTAACATCTGCTGTGCATTGTGCCCGCTGCCACAACAAAAGAAAAACGAAAAGAAAAAAGAGAATAAGGAAACAGTTCAGTCGAGGGTACAACAGTTATTCTGTCTTCCTGCCTTTTGTCACTGCAGAGTTGCTCCAAAAAGTAAACGGTAAACGTCCTGTATTTGTATAGCGCTTTCCCTATGGACCCCAAAGCACTTTACACTACATTCAGTCATCCACCCACTCACACACACATTCACACACTGGTGATGGCAAGCTACATTGTAGCCACAGCTGGGGCGCACTGACAGAGGCGAGGCTGCCGGACACTGGCGCCACCAGGCCCTCTGACTACCACCAGTAGGTAACGGGTGAAGTATCTTGCCCAAGGACACAACGACCGAGACTGTCGGAGCCGGGGCTCGAACCGGCAACCTACCGATTACAAGACGAACTCTAGAGCCACAATCGCCCTTTATCGTAATAAAGGTAACAAGCTAACAGCTAGACAAAAGAAACAACAGCATGCTCAATTCAAAATGATTAAACAGTCTAATGGGTGCTAAACCACTTAAATCCAAAGTATTAATAAGAACTTCGGCATTCACATTTACAAATCTTATAAGAGGAAAGATTGTAAGAGGAAACGGAGAAGCCTTTTAGCCTGTGGCCACCCTCAGCCTTTCCACATTTGGGTGTGACTCTCAATAAACCACCACCTGGTCGTAGTCCATGGCCAGGTGATAGCAAACATTTAAATATTAGTAAGTACAAAGTTAATGAAGTTGTTCATCCACAAACAGAGACTGTCTAAAAGCCCCCCTGACATAAATAACAGACATTTATAAAATCCTAAATCACATGAGTTTGTGATACAATAAAGAAATAAAGAATACATCTTAAAGTCCATGAATATCTTTAAAAAAAACATACGTGAATTCATTATATATACACATTTTATGACTACAGTTTTATCTATGCACCCAATGAACTAATCATAAAAACAACAACAACACCAATTGCTTATTTAATCTTCCAGGATACCCTGTTGACAGATAATTTATCCAATCAGCTTTGCTTTGGAGGTCTAGATGACTGTGAATGTCAGGCTATAGGGAACGTCTCGTTGTAGTATCTGATTATATCTAATTCTCAGCTCCTCTTACCTTCCCCACACAGCAAAATCCACAAGGCCACTTTAATTAGTGTGCCACATGTGTGGTCCTAAAGTGATTCTGTCACTCAATCTGTCTTTTTTTTTTTTTTTTTTTACCTGTATGTGGGTGTAATAAATGATTCCCTTTAATCATCCCATTACAGACCACACAATTCAAATGGCCATTGTGAAGTACAGTACACACCGAAACCAGTAGTTAGGGTACTGTAATAAACAATAACATGTGAGCATATACAAATGTCACAGTGTAACATGTATCCAAATATTGTGCCATGAGCCAAAGAAAACAAAAAACAAAGAGAAAACAAAGGCCTGAACATTTAATTTTATGCTTTAGTTATTTTTGTGTTTATATGATGTTTGAAAGTGAGGAGGAGGAAGGGAGGCTAAGACAGTTTGATCTGAAGAGAAAAACACATGAACTGGTTCCTAAATTTAAATCCATATGGTTAAAAAAAATTAGTGTTGATGCAATCTGCTGAACCCTACTCAAGTGAAAACCTACTACTTACATGCAACTTTCATTAGTAGTCTGAATGTATATTATTGTTGTATTGAATTTATTTTATTTGTTCTAAATGTTTTGTTAAAATTCCTATTTTAAGACCTTAGTGTATTTCCATTTTGTGTATGTAGTTAAATGTCAGGTTAGTATTGTCTTTCTGTCACAGTAAGTCCTGTCCTGGGTTGAAATCTACTGGCTGAACAGCTCAAACGACATAGACGCAGATTTAATGTATGAACCTGGACCCTCATTACTTGCATTGTCTTCAAAGGGCAGACTCACCATTAGGGGTGGACCTTTCTGCAGGCTGTGCTTGCACTTGAGGTGGTGTAGCACCAGTAGTGGTGTAGTGGTAGCTGCCTGCTAGGTCCTCTCTACTTTGGCACACGGAGTTGCAGGAAAGGCGACTGGTCTGACTTGGACTATCTCCAATGAAGAAAGAGCTTCCTTGGGCAGTGACAAACATGGACTCTTCTGCTGCGGTAACAGCTTCTGGGATGGGACTGCTGCTGCTACTAGCATCTGTGTAATCATCCTGATGTAGAACAAAGAAAACATTAACAATTCTGAAAATCAATTACCGCAGGAGACATGGCAAAAGACAGTGAATAATTTAACATATGGGAAATACCTTATTAGCACTTTGCATGCTCACAGTTATGTCCCGATGGTCATCGTCACTGTCGGTCCTGAATGAACGCTGGATGGGTGTACTGCTGTAGGGAGACGTTTGAACAGCCACTTGGACAACATGGTCACTGCCACATTCTGGACAAATCTGACTTTTTCCTGTAAATACACACAAAAAGTATACAGTAAAGGGGACCTGTAAGGTTTTTCCTTATTTTATGTCATAAAAACACTATTACAATGATGCAATCTCATATTAAACGTTGCTAAAAAAATATTCAAATAATGAGGTCAGTATATCTGGATCATGAGAAACTGGGACTGTTGCAGATAGCGGCACATCTTTATAAGATTAATGGTGTGAGCCTCCAAAACAGGCCACACCTATTCTTACATTTCTTGGTGTACCCCTCCACAATAGGCTGCACTTCTTTTAAAGATTACTGGTGAGGCCCTCCACAACAGGCTGTACCTCTATATAAGCTTATTGGTGAGGCTCTCCAAAACAGGCTAAAGAAGCCCCGGCAACCTGCTGTTCAAACCTTCTGTTTGCGAGGGGCAGCAAATTTGAGAAAAAGAGTAGGCTTAATGGGAGGGTGGCCTTGAAGAGAAAGGAACTAAAAGGCCTTTCTTCATTCAGTAGATGAATGGAGTAGCTACACCAAGACGCGGTAAAAGATACGACTTTTCTAACCTGTGACTCATGCAGAGCTTCTCTTGTAATATCCAAGAGATAGAAATAGGTCCAGTTTAACAAAGTTACTGTAACAACTGTATGGAAATCAAGATGTATTGTTTTTTAATCAAGATATGTTGTTACATATTTTTCATGTCAAGATACAAAAAGACAAGGGTTGTATAATAAACCTGTTTGAACTTAGGTTTTGTACTCAAGAATAACAGGATGTTTAAAAAAAAATCTGAAAACAACAGAGGAGAGTGACAGAAAACATGCATGGATATGTTTCAGGTCAAAGGAGATTATATTTTATCTACAAGGAGTGTATTCTGTAACCCACAGGCAAACAACTGTCTACGTTCAGACACGTGCAATGTGAAAAAATCTTTTGTTGCCCAAAATGTCAGCAGAACCACAGACTAAGCACACTAACAAAAGGTGTATGGTTCCAAAAAAACTCTCCAAACATTTGTTGAACACAGTCTGTACAAGCCCGTGCAGGTCTTAATGTCAGGTTTGGTTGGATTGCGGGTAGGAGGCTGCTGGAATGATGACTATTATCTGCATCCTGCTGAAGTGGGAACTCTTGGCTATGGAATCCACGAGATAACGTGTTTGACGCTTCGAGAGAGGCTGTCTAAAACTAACATTTTGTCTTGTGAAATCATGGGAAACTGATAGTTGGCAAGTACTCTGAAATCAAATGAATTTGGTACTCGCAATGTGTGACCTTGTGTCATTTATGCTTTGGTTTTTATGGTAGCACAAAACCTGCAGACCCACATATATTAATCATTAAAAAAAATCTGCCTCTTACTATTATAGCATTATTCATTATCTTACTGCATTATTCACCATTTTTATCTTGATAAACAAGATAAAAATGGTGGACATTTTTGGCTTAGTTTCCTCCCGACTCACAGACCTTCTGTTTGCAGGGTATAGAAATTTATATGAAAGTTGGCTTAAAGCAGTGATTCTGAGACATTTTGGCCATCCCCTAGATCAGAGTCCAAAAAGTAAAGCTTCACACCCACCACCGGATTATTGAATTATTATCATTTATTTATGTTTAAACTGCTCATTTTAGTTTAAACTGCCCTTTATTATATCTTTTTATTGGCTATTATGACCAAAATGGCATCTTTTTGTTCACAGTGCTTTGTGCCTGTTTGCCTGTGAAAATAAGTAAACCTATAATTTACTCACCACCCATTTTCATTAATAATAAAGAACCAGCCCAGCTGAACTTTAATAACCTGAGGTTAGCAAGACAGCAGCAGCAAACTCTTCACCGTTTATTTTTATCATTCAATTTATTGTGTATTTTGACCCTGGTCTTCCACCAACGACGTGCTGTAGCTATGTATCCCACCACTATTGCTTGACCCACAGTTTGAAAAGCACTGGCTAAAAAAAGAAAGCTTAGGGCTCAAAGAGAACTAAGGGTTATTTTGTTAATCATGCAAAGCTACTCTAGGAGAGTCTAAGAAAAAACATATGGAGCTGGAAATGAGCACAAGATTGTTTTACCTCTTTATAGACCCGTCTGTGCTTTTTTTGGAACGATTTATTTCTCTGTGCAAGACATTTAATCTCTCTTTGTATACAAAAGGTGCTTTATAAATAAAATCTCCTCATCTAGAAACATCTAGTACTTGGCTATTTAAGGATAGTTTAGTTCGTGAGAGTGACCATGATTCATCAGGGATGACTCAGTTTCATGGATGAATCAGAATGAGTGTTGTAGTGTGCATGTCTGTGCACATGTGTGTGTGGGCTGCTCTCACATGTGACGATGACAGATTCAGCTATAAACTAAAGCCAGATATCACCTTGCTTTGGCAGTTTTCTATTTTTTTTTTGTTGTATTTTTTTTAACAAAAGATTTGTGCCTTAAGTGCATTTTTCCCCATTTCAAAACAGCTCCAAACATCTGGCTAGTGCAAACAGATCAAAAGGTTTTTCTTAAACTCTTCTTGCTGTTTGTACATTTTTTCCTCTGCACATTTTAACTTTATGGATGTCGATTTAAAGAGAAAACATGCAAAAATACTTAAAGAAAGAATAATATTGATTTTATCTGCCTTGAGTGTTATATACATATAACACTCACTTTACTGAGTGCCTCTTCCTGTGTCTGTTTATCAACTGTTGATGATGAACGCTGCAGGAACTCACTCTCACCTTTGCTGGCCCACTGTGCCTCTATCAGCTCCTCCCCGTCCTTTTCCTGCACACCTTCTGATAGCATCACAGCTCCTCTCCTCTTCGTTGTTCGTTCACCGGCTTCCTCTTCATCGTCCCCTCCCTGAAGAATGAATTCTGACCTGCAGCGAAGGCACTGCAGGCGAATGCAGCTGTGACAGAGCTCAGAAACCCGGCGTTGGTTTTCCTCCACCACATTAGACAGTATGTCAGTCAGAGCCTGGTCAGCAAAAAAAAAAAAAAAAAGTTTGTTAACAAGCAGGAAAACCAAGACATTTCTGCTCACTAAACAGTTCTGCAGGAGTCAAAGGTGGTAATAATACATTTTTTACAGCAGTTCAGAGATATACAAGCATTCTCCACACATTCCAGACAATATTAACTTTTTCCTGTAACTACACAAAAAAATTATATAGAAAATTAAAGGGTATCTATAATGCTTTGTGTTATTTTATGTCACAGATATACTGTTACAATAGGGGATTCTCATATCAAATGTCATGGTCCCAGCTGATAATCACAAGGCCGATTTAAGACAGCAGCACTGTGTCACTCGTCGCTGGATCGTTGAGTTATCAGCGTCAGTCGCTCAGTAGATTGAAAATAAGGATCTGTGAGTTCGTTCCGTCTGTTCGCCTCTAACTATAATCTCTGTGTACAGATCTATCCCGGACCTTTCCCAGCCTGCCTGTCATCCCGTGGACGAGTGAGTGGATGGTGTTTCCCCAGTGTGGGGAGTGAAGAGAGAGAGCCTTTGGAGGGAGTCAGATTCCCGTCTTATCCCTCACATACCCCGGAACCCTGGACCCCCCTCCCCTCCCTCCAGCACTTTGTAAATAGCATCACCTGGTGTCGTTGTGTAAATAAAATCTGTAAATCCTGTAAGGAGTCCCGGTCTGCGCCTGAGTCCGTTAACTGAAACCTGACATCAAACATGGGCAGGCAATTTTCCCACGAGGTCGCATGAGAAACTGGGACTGCCATGGAGAGCTACATCTTAAGTTTGTGCGGTGCTCCACAACAGGCTGCACCTTATTATTAGACAATATGTCAGTCAGAACCTGATCGGCAAAATAAATAATAAGAAATAATTCTGGAGGAGAGAAAGGTGGTAATAATACATTTCTGCCTGCAGCCCATGAGATATACAAGCATTCTCTTTGCTTTTCTCTCTGACAGGCGACTGCAAGCTAAAAACTGAAGTATTTATATAAAATGTCTTAACACATAGGCGTCAAACTCTGGCCTGCAGCCTAATTACATTTGACCCGCGAAGCCACACCAAATTACTATCAGAGCTGGCCTACTGGTATTATACAGCTAATATATATATTGTTTAGTATTAAGCTTTGCTTGTTCCATATTCAGTTTTTCAGCAAAACGTGTTTGAGTCCATAAGAAAAGATTCATTCTTATATCTGGAGGAATAAATATATTTGAATAATTATTAACGTTAGCCCGCAACTTTGTTCCAGTTTTGAGTTTTGGCCCACTGTGTATTTGAGTTTGACACCCCTGTCTTAACAGGATAGGAGAACTCGATAAAATATTAGAATGGGTTTCCATAAACTACTACATTTGACAAATTTCTGAAACTAGCAGTCATTCTTAGTTCTTTCCTTAAGTAGAACCTCAAGGTGCTCGTTTGGTTTTACACTTAATTCAGTTATGTGTGTATTTAAACATACATTACATATTAACTGAACAGCTTTCTGCTTTTAACATTTCATCTGACACAGGTTTTAGATTGTACTGCTGTTGATTGTCGTCAGGTACACAAAGGTAACATGGACTGAGCAGAGGACAGCCTGTGAACATGCCCAGACAACTACAGCATGTCCAAGAAGTCAGTGGGTGGGTGTTCTTAAAGAACAGTGTTCATTGTACGCACCTTGCACGTCATCCGCATTGATGTGTGGGAAAATTGACAGCACAAACAACCACTCCTGGCAACAGAAGTTTGTGTGCATGAATTTAAATGTGTGAGAGTTTTTCAGCTAACCTGCAGTGCTTGCTGAGGGTCATCATCTAACAGGACGTAGCGTCTCCTCCGTTTGTCCTTGCTGATGTAGTCAAAGTAAAGTTCTACAGCTGGAAACTGATTTTCTAAATCCTGAAAGATAGTCAAAGTCATTTATCAAGTTGATAAAAACATTATATTTTCCTTTATAGACGTAAAGATGTTAGAGATGAAGAATCTCCTTTCATACCCCTCGGGTCCACGCAGCCTCAGTTGTTTCCACCTTAGCCAGGCTATCCAGCTCCAGACGGCATCTCTCCTGGCCACACTGCATGTCCATCTCAAGCACTAAGCCCTTTTTGATGCACAAGAACACCTCCCTTCTTCCCTTCCTCTGCCCCTGACCTTCACCAAGCCCCTCCTCTTTGTCAGATAAGACACCAACAAGCAGAGGGTGACAAAGGTCCACTAAGAGAAAAGAAAAGTAGTAGTCAGAGAAAGCAGATCATAACTGGAGGAGATTTGTGCTGATTATCCTTCAGAATAACTGCATTATGTTAAGTCGAGCACATATTGAGTTAGATACTGTTTAAAATGTTTCTCAATTTTCAACCTCCCTACCTCCTAAATCCTCTTCTTCTTCATGATTGGTCTCGCCACTCGCTGCTCTAGCAGACCTGTGGCTCTCTGGACTTGGCTGAGGTGAACTCACTACTCCCTGGCTCATCACCAGTCCATCTACCATGCTGTTATCCAAGGTGGACTCTGTCAGCTGAGGGGTCTGACCACCTTGCAAGGTGGACTCCATTTCCAGGTCTGCATCCACGTCAGAGGCCTCATTTCTGGGTTCAGAGGAAAGAATAGGTGGTGGGAGGACTTCCGGGACCTTGTGGGAAGACGGCGGCAATGGCTGCTGCTGTGGGATAGATGTAGTGGTAGTAGCGATGGTGGTGGTGAGGCCGTTGGAGAGGGTTTGAGAGCAGGAGGTTTGCTGGTTAACAGTGGTGGTGAGCGTTAAGGGTGAAGCTCCATCTAGATGGTGTTCATATCTTAGCCAGTCTTCTCCGAGTTGTTCCCTGAAGCTGGACATGCGTTCAATCTCCTGCTGGTGCTGAAGGACGATGCCTAGAAGAGGAAAAAGAACAGCAAAAAACAAAAAAACATTCATGCTCGTATCCACCTCTATACTTTTAGTCTTGGACTTTGCATGACTTTTCTTAGTTGAGCATATGATAAGGTTATTTGATACTTTAGCAATATTTAACAAGAGCATACTCCATTACTACAGTACAAGGTAAATCATTATTTTTGCCTTTATGTTGAAACTTTAGACGGCAAACATGTTTTGACAACAAACCCTGTGTGGAGGACAAGGGTCTGGACTCATAATCAGTATCACTGGGTTCGGATATACTGGCCCTCCGCACTTTCACCTTACTCTGAAACAAAAATTGACAATTTTTCATTAAATATCAGAGAAAAGCACTAAAAAAAAGCATATCAACACCCAAAAGAGCATCACTCCCACCCTATTTTTCCTTCTGCGAAGGTTTGAGACAACCGCTTCGCCGAGGGACAGGCTGTCACTCAGCTCCCCCATCCCACTAGATGCTTCCTGGTAACTGCGTTCTGCAGGCATGGTGTAACCTGAAGGCAAAGTCTGCACCTGGACCATCAGCGGCCCTGGTTTTGGCAGAACCTGCAGAGAAGAGTACTCCAACTTTACTACCACAAATGATTTTAAGTATTAATTCCACATTTTCTTTTCCAAATACAGTGCAAATAAATGTAGATTATACCTTGCTACAAAGTAGGGCTGCTCGATTATGGCAAAAATGATAATCACGATTATTTTCACTGAAATTGAGATCTCGATTATTTGACGATATTTATTTAACAATAATAATGTATTGAATGATGACTTTAAAGATTGTCAAAAAATAATATAAAATAGTGTGCAAATACTGATAACAGTGCAAATGTTTGCAATATAAGAAATAAATGAAAAATGTAAACATCTATGTTTAGTGAACTTTGCGGTGTTGCTCTGTGGTGCAGCTACGACACCATAGCAAAGTTTACACACTATGTCTACTTGATCCACGTCTGACTCCGCCAACCCATAATGTTTCCACACCACTGAAGTTTTTTTTTACCTCTGTTTTCAACCAACAGCAGTCACTCTCCTCTCCACATAACTTCTGCTTAGCTTTCCGAGCTTCCCTCGGGTCCTCTTAATCAGCGGTCCCCAACCCCCGGGCCTCGGACCGGTATCGGGCCGCGAAAGTTGAGGCTCAGGTGTGAAATGTATAGTTTTCAGGGTTTTTATCGGCTTTCAGCGTTATTTTGTTATCGTTTTTATTGTTTACTCTGTTTTCCTGGGTCTTTTCACGTGTGTTATGAATAAATTTTCTTTTTTTCTGTACCGGTACTAGTTTTATTTTGTTGTATTTATCCGCGACACCTTAAAGGCCGGTCCATGAAAATATTGTCGGGCATAAACCGGTCCGTGGCGCAAAAAAGGTTGGGGACCGCTGCTCTTATTTGTTGTGACGTGTGTTCAAAATGCAGAGAGGTGCGCTCGATTTGCCACACGGAGCAGCGCGAGAGTAAAGCACGAGGGAGGGGCTAATAATCGGCTCAGTCATTTTTAATGATCGTTGAAAGCCCAGATCATAATCGTGATTACAATTCGATTAATTGGTATCAGCTCAGACGGCACTTTAAACAGACTGAACTCTCTCTTAATGCACCACCGCATAGACATTGCATGTTCTCCCCATCCTTAACGGACAAGGCATTTAACATATGGACAAAGCTTGGAATAACGTCAATGACTGCTCTTTTCACGGACAATATCTTTTCCTCATTTGAACAGCTGGTGAACAAGTTCAAGATCCCTCAGTCACACTTTTTCAGGTATCTACAACTCAGGAATTTTGTTGCTTCTAATACTGACTGCTTTCCGTCCTGTCCACCTCCATCCCTTTTGGATGATATTTTTGATTTTAAACCAAATGCTAAGCGGGTTATAAGTGATGTTTATGAGCTGTTAAGTAATTTTAGGCTGTCCACATTGCAATCACTTAGGGAACGATGGGGAAGTGATCTTGGCCAACGGATTGCAGATGAGACTTGGCATAAGATAATCAATAGAATTTCTTCGTCATCTATTTGCCTTAAACATGTGGTGATTCAGTTCAAAGTTGTTCACCGTCTCCATTGGTCTAAAACTAGACTGAGCAAAATCAAGGATGGGTTTGACCCCACATGTGACCGGTGCAAACGAGAGCCTGCTTCCCTATTTCACATGTTCTGGGGATGTCCAAAACTGGGTGGCTTTTGGAAAAGCATATTTGAAACCATGTCCAACATATTTGGTGTTCCAATTGCACCCTGCCCGTTTATAGCTATTTTTGGGGTGGCGCCTTGTGATGCTAGTCTTTCCAAATCACACTCTGATCTTCTGGCCTTCTGCACTCTTTTGGCCCGTAGAATGATATTATTGAAATGGAAAGAGCCACTTCCACCTGTATATGGGCAATGGGTTAAGGATGTCACGTACTATACTCAGCTGGAAAAGATCCGCTACACTGTAAAAGGTTCGGTTCAGAGGTTTTATGACACATGGCAACCTTTTCTTACTTACTTTGAAAGATTAAGTCTGGATACTATTGCTCAATGTGCGTGTGAGTTTTCTGTTGTTTTGTTTTTTTTGTTGTTGTTTTGTTTTTTTTCCCTTGCTGTTGTTCATTTATTTTATTATTTACTTTGTATCTGTAATTTTATTTTATTTTATCTCTTCTTTCCTCTCTGGCTGGGATTTAGTTACACTGTTCTGGATGGGTGGGGGGCAGGACTGTTTGTTAATATTGCCATAATTGTTGTTGGAAGCAATTCTTTGTTCAATACAAAGACCTTGATTAAAAAAAAAAATTCGATTAATTGAGCAGCCCTAATACAAAGTAAATAAATGTAGCAAGTGGCAACAATTTACACCGCATGAATTTTTGAGTCACTCTGAAGAGAATCTGCTTTAGTATCAAGCTTTTAAACTGTGAGATGATGAAGTGATGTTAAGAGTGAGACTCACTGATATTTCAGATGAGGACAGTAGGGTGCCATCAAGTTTGAGCTATAAAGAAAGAAAAAAGGGAATGCCTGAAATTTTGGGTGAAAACAAGAAAGGCAATTCTGGGAAGCTTCTGCAGCCACTCGCACAGAAACACACTGCAGCTCAAACCTTTGTGTGAATAGCAAAGCTGCACTTTGTGACAAATTGGAGAACAGATGACCCAGAGGCTACTAGAACTTAAAAACAATACTTTCACATCACATTTTCATCCTTCTTTGGAAATGTAAGGTAAACTTTAAAAGTATATATATGCATAATACATTCAGTTACAATTCTTATCACTCACTCTGGTGTTGGCAGCTTTTGGCGAGAGGTGTCTGACTGTGGAGGTGCGGTGGGTCTTCTGGAAGTACAGTGGGTTTCCTTCCAGATTCAACTGAAAAAAGACAGTAGAGTTTGCATTCTTAGCTACTCTCCTATGGAAAAAAAACCTCCCAGTTTGAGACAAGGAGGCAGAAAATCTTAGGCTAGATTACATGACTTTAAAGTTTTTTGTGTAAAACCTCACCACTAGATGTCAGTAGACTGCTGATTGAAGTTAACTGAATTCAACTCTTTTATTAGCATTAGCTAACTTCCTGGCTAATGTTAGCTAAGTGCTCAGATGCCACTGGTCAGCTGCGACGTTAATGCTGGACCACTATTGTTATGATGATGATGTAGGACCAACACAGTGATATCAAATCGTAAAGACTGTCAGTCCACACTTTACCTCAGCTGTCAATATATGTACATGCCTATTTACTGTGGGAGAGGCTATAAATCTTTGTGAAAAGAGTCTGATACAAGTCGATGAGTCAATGAAGTTTACTTCTATTTGATTAGCGCGATACTGAAGTGAGTTGTTCAAGATATCCTGAACGTTTCTGTCAGTGTTTTTGCTGCTGTTAGCTTCGGTTAGCCTTTGTTAGCTGCTGTTAGTGAAACTTTTGTTGATTAGGATGCAACACTGCTGGACTCTGATGCTTAGTGAATAAACTGCTATACAATGTGGGAATGTAATCAAACTGTTTGTCACAGGGATAAAGCCTAACATTAGCTGGCATAACATTAGCTTATAACCAGCTGTCATTGTTCATCCAGCTTTCATCAGCTGTACAGAAATGGGGGGATTTTGCATCTAATCTGTTGCCATTAAGTAACTGTGACAATATCTGGAATAAATAAGCAGGTTTTTTTGTGTTAGGGCCCTGACTTCAGTTCTGCAGGGGCTTGAGGTGAGGAAGAAGAGGATGATATTCTATTAAGATACTGGTGGTGTTGCCTCCTTCCTTCCTGTTTTCAGTTTGTCAGTGGAGGGGACCCCTTCTTAGATGATAAAACACAAAGTATGAACCTTCATATCTAGAGTCTGAAGGTGCATATACAAATTCAAATTTGCCTGAACAGCATGGGAATGGCTACGAGTTCTCTCCTTCTTTGGGATGTATGTGGCCAGTCTCTAACCACGTAGATAAAATATGATTAGGCAGAACAGCGACGTCCACTGTATTCAAGATGTTTGTGGCACAAACCAGTGCCGGCACCTGTGCATTTTTAATGGGTTAAATCTAAGTTTATAAGAACACATCAGTTTGTTGGAAGATGTAATTACACACTAATCTGTGTATATTGATGAGTACAACTTTATTTTTCTATAACATAAACTCAGAAAATGGCTATTGCACCTCTAAACCATTGTTTAGTTATGCCGCTATAAGCTCAGGCAGCTGGGGGACCTCAAAGTCAACCTCATTAGTATTTTCTAGAGATGTGAGGTAAAATGCTTCCTCTGTATCGCAATGTTACAGACTCTTTCAAAAACAAAAACAAAAAAACAAATACTGGATCCTGATCAATTCCAACAGTTTAGCCCAGCCCCACTTTTGTAACGTTTTCATGCAAATCCATCCAAAATGGTTGAAGAAACCTGCTAACAAGCAGATTTAAAAACAATGAGCCCTAATCGCTTGACCTCACTGGGAGCAGTAACAAAGTGTCATGTAAATTTGATCATCTAAGGATAAATGTGTGCATGTGTGCATCTTTACTGTGTTGAGGCAGTGCAGCAGGGAGAGAGGAGCCAGCTGGGAATGCTCCAGCAGGATGTTGTAGGCCAGGTCTAAATGCTGGAGAGAAGACAACTGTTCCACGCCTGTTTTGATGAGAGATGCCAATGATGCAAGTGAATTCAAACTCATGCACAAGTTCAAGAGCACTGGTTTTAAAGGAAAAAAAAAATCACGAAACATTAAGTTGTGTAATTAAATTCTCATGTTCTTTTCCCTTATTAAAAATGTCTCTGCGTGATGAAGAAAACTATCTTACAAAACAGTGGCAATAAAGTTTGTGTATCTTCACGCTGCTTCCTCGTCTACCAGCTTCATCACTATTTGGTCTCTTTGCTGAGAAGGTAAATTGGGCTTTAAGAAGAGTACGGGAAGCCTGCGACTGATAACAGTTGTTCCTACCGTTGATGGTTTCCAGTTCGTTGTTCCTGAGGATAAGTGTGACCAGCTTGGCCCTAGCACTCATACCGAGCGTTGGCGCCCTCTGCAGGCAGTTGTAGCCCAGGTTCAAGTGTTCCAGCTCAGTCAGAGCCTGGGCGAAAGCAAAAATAAAGTAAAACAAGATTACTGTAAATTGCAGAATAAACAAATAAAGCTTAGATTCTATGTAACCAAATGCTGATAGCAATCCAACCTTTAGGAATTCAGCACACTCCTGAATCTTGTTATGGCTTAGATCCAAAGATTTCAGGACATTCAGTAAACTCTGTAAGATTTGAAGAAGTTGAGGTTGGATAGAAACCTTATGCTTATGAATCAGTAATGACACATCTGTGTATTTGCTTGTCTCACCAGTGACTGGTCAAGGCAAACTATGGAGTTGTAGCTGAAGTTCAGGGTGTGAAGTTCAAGCCACGGTAGTGCTGAGCTCAGATCACCTCCACACAGAGAGAGCAGCTCCTAAAAATGCACATCATATAAATCACTGAGCTTTTTGGTCCTCTCACATTCCCAGAAACCTGCTCATGCTACCGGCTGGGAGTACCTCCAAGGAACTGAGGCTTTTTGAGCAGGTAAAAACCTCCAGCTGGGAGTAAATTCCTCTGAGGCCCTCAAGACAGTGAGGGGGGATTCTCTTCAGCTGGTGAGGAAGAACAAGCAGAGACGAGTTATAATGTAAAAGACCTGTGACCTTAAACAACAAGAAGTGAAAGTAGGAAGGATTCACACATTACCTCCAAACACTTCAGAGACTTGAAAGGGAAAATTTTTAACACAGACTTGAGCCTCACACCCAGCGGGTTGATGAGCTGCAAACACACAGCGAGTCAGAAATTAGTTGGCAGGGCCAACTTTTTGGGACTCAATGTGAAAGAACCAAGTTCTGGGTTAAAACCAACCTTGAGGGAAACTGTCTTCTGCAGGATGTCAAACAGGAACTGCAGCTGCAGCAGCGAAGCGGTGTCAGCTGGGTGGGAGGGCAGTGCGAGGAACCCGTGTTGCTGGCTCCGGGATAGCAAGTACTGCTCAAACAGCCTTGTGAGCTGCTGCAAGGTGGCAGCAGGCAGGGTCAGCGTGCTGCTGCCGTCCAGCACCATGTCACCTGAAGGGTGAAAGCGAGCTTTCATGCTTAAAGTAATCAGCCAGATTTGACTCACAAGTGACAAGTTAGTAGGGGTGGGGGAAAAAATCGATACTGTGTAGTATCGTGATATTTTGTTTGCTAATAATGTATCGATACAGGGACAGCAGAAATCGATATTTAGTTACAAAAAAAGTTTTTGTGGACTGGAACTCTGACTTCAGAGCATGTTGATCCTTTTTCTGAGCAAGAATCCTGACACTGTCCAAATGTGTTTAACTTTTTTTTTTTGGCAGCAATAAACATGACAGTTTACTTATTTTAATTTAAGACATGTTTTATTTTAATTAAGTTTAAAACTTTTTTATTTAATGTAAAATTCTATTTTGTTTTAATTTATTGTCAAATTCTTCAGTTGCTGAATGGGCTGCATAGTTTTTATAAATAGCTATAATTGTACCAGATGGTTGCATTCAGTTCAGTTGGACTAGACTGTAATACAAACCGTTCAGTTTGTCAACAATAAAACTGCCTGAAATGTGAGAAAGACTGAGTGTGAGACTTTGATATTAGATAAAATGAATATTGATAAAGTTTACCTTTATGTACAGAATCTGAATATCGCAAAATATTTTTAAAAATTGCAATAATATCGTACCGTGTGTTAAATATTGTGATAATATCGTATCGTGGGATGTATGGTGATTCCCACCTCTGCAAGTTAGTCAGCTACAGAATGAATGAGTAGCTCCAATGCAGTGCTACAGATTTGGAAGCATCCACCTGAATATTATTGTTGTTGGATGTCAGTGGAGCTCAGTAATTTAGGTAGCTATTCCTCTTTTTCACCAACTTCTACTCAGCGCGACTCAGTTTTTAAGGTTTTCCATTAGGTGGTAGTAGCTGGTACCACATACTTTTTAGTATCACTTTGGCCCCGGTTCTAAGCGAGCCAATCTGAGCCAAAAATGTGACATCAACGGACGGCATGCCGCTAATCGGCCAGGCAGCGACTACACTGAAAGAGACACGAGTGCGACTCCTTCCCAAGACTCAAACCTGCCATTTTTTAAACCTGGTAACAAGGGAAGTGTTTACACACGCCTCCCACCAAAACCTTCACTTGCTGTGTTGTGTTTGTGGCGCATACTACTGAGGTCTTGAGATGTTTGGGCAGCCTTGCTGTAACGACCCCACCCACATTGAGATGGTACTTGTAACTGAAAAATGCAGAAACTGTGCAGAGTAGGTGCCAGTGGAAAAAAGGCTTTAGTGATCACAAACTTGGCAAATGGCTGAGAGTGTGTTAGACACACAAAAAATCATAATCAAACTATTATACTGTTGTTAGTGGTCTGATGTCGGCTAAATAATTTGCATTTCTGAAAATGAATCATTATCAGTGAACTATTAACACCACTCTCATTCATGTATTTAGTTCATATTGGAGAGTTCTGTGGACAGGAGGAACCTCAGAATAGCATCCCTGCTGTTTGGTGATGATGTGGTTCTGTTGGCTTCATCAGTGCATGACCATCAGCATGCACTGGAGCGGTTTGCAGCAGAGCATGAAAGCCAGCGACTCTGAGTCTGACGAAGCGGTTCACTGCTGGGAAAACAGTGCAATGCTCTATTTGGGTTGGGAAAGAGAGGCAGCCTCAAGGCGAGCGAGTTCAAATATCATGGGATCTCATTCACAAGTGTTGGGAAGCTCGACGGACGGTTTAGCGCGGCGTCAGCAGAAACCCGGCTGTTGAACCAGGCCGTTGTGGTAAAGACAGTTTCGATTTACTGATCCATCTACGTCCACAACCTTCACCTGTGGTCATGACTTCTGGGTAACAACCAAAAGAGTAAGGCAGTGAATACACCCTTTACCTGGACTGTGCCTTAGAGGTGAGGTAATGACTTAAGGCCCGGGCACAGAATCATTACAACAGAGGCTCCACTGGACAGTTTCGAAAAATGTGAAGGAGGGCATAAATTTTGGACTTTTTATCAATTTTTTTAATAAGTTTATAAGTTTTTGTTCTAGTGATAAAAACCTCCCACATGGACATTCAGAAATTAAGTAATAGATAAACATTTAAATGACAGAAAAGATTGTTTAAATTTAGCACTATCTGCTCCAGGAACTTCTTTTTACAGCGGGCCCATAGTAAAAATTACCTTGATGCCATTTTTACTGAAAATCACAGAAAATGAAAAGCACAGAAAATGATTTCCTATTTTCTATAAATTAACGAAAACTTAGTTTTATAATTACAGGACAGTCTCAGCGATGAGCAACTAAATCTTGTTCTGAAACTTTACACATTTATTTCTTACAATTTAAGCACACAATGCTTATTGACAGATTTCTTTCATTTAAAACAACAGCATTTCTTTATCGTGCATGGTTAAATCTGGGAACGCCTCTGGATCCCCCAGGAGGGACTCGAAAGTATGGCTGCTGTGAATGTGACCCAGCATCAGATAAGTGGAAGACAATAGATGGATGGTTGATTTCTCTCAATAATATAACACCCCCTTTCAAATAACTCCTCAGACAAATTAAAAGGAAAACATTATCTGTAAACAGACTGTAAAACCCCTACATTATTAATGAATAGGGGATTAGGCTGGCTCAGTTATCATCGTCTGTTGAAATAGCTTAAAGCGCAATCAGCTTTTGGGGTGGGGGGAAGGGTTGAAGGCTCTTAGATTATTATGTTTCCTCACAGAGCGAACCTGGATGGTCCTGAAGCTGTCAACATGAGTTAACCGCCTCATGATCCTGTGTCATGCTGCTGTTTTTGGACGGATCTTGTACGTAAAGGGAACAGTGTCACACTGGCACATACCGTTATTTCGGAGAAGCGTGGCCAAGCTATGTACGAGAGGAGAGTGGCCCGTCTGAAGTGCAGCCATCCTGTAAGAATTCAAGAAATAGTCCTGAGTACACAACTCACGGAAATTAAAAACAGAAAAGCTTGTCTTGCACGCGTTCAGTACGTTTCGTGCTGTTGTTTCAGCGGATTTGATAAAAACAAAAGACGACTACAGACAACTATACCACAGCCTCGGGCTAATAAGCACTTTTTCCGCGTTAATGTAGTTAGCGTTCAAAGCTTTAGAGACACGCTAACTGACATAGGCATCCAAAACTCTGCTATTGCTAGCAGTTAGCTCGGCTAAAGTATCCCGATAAGTAAGCAAAACGACATACCTGCGCAATGACAGCCGACAGCCGGATTGCTAACATCAAGGTGTTAGTTATAGTAGAGCATATTAATTTTGGCGCACAAAGAAACGCCACGTTATGGTGCTCATTTGTTATTGTGGCAATCAAGCGCAGAGTGATGTTGACATTTTTTACCTCCGTCACATGACGGAACTGAAAGCGTGTACGGTAGCCTCGTTATACCAAGTTTCTTCTTTTTTAAAATCGCTCTTCTTCTTCTTCTTCTTCTTCTTCTTCTTCTTCTTCTTCTTCTTCTTCTTCTTAATATTATTATTCATAATAATAGTAAAAATCCTCACAGTTTGAATAAAGGCACACATTAAAGATAAATATAAATGTCACTGCATACAGTCAAAAGGTCAAACGTTCAGTTCAAGGTTCCATCCATCCATCCATTCGCTACCGCTTATCCTTTTTCAGGGTCGCGGGGGGTGCTGGAGCCTATCCCAGCTGTCATAGGGCGAGAGGCAGGGTACACCCTGGACAGGTCGCCAGTCTGTCGCAGGGCTAACACATAGGGACAGACAACCATTCACACTCACATTCACTCCTAGTGACAATTTAGATTAATCAATTAACCTATCCCCACAAGTTCAAGGTTATTATACTAAAATTAAACAAACATAAACTAAAACTTGTTAACTGAAATAAGAATAAAAAGTGGCCCTTAAAAATAATAAAAATTAACTGAGATGATTTTTGTAAAATGAAACTTTACTAAAACGTTAAAAATGTATTTAGAGAAAATAAATATCATTAGTTTTCCTCTTTGTCAGTTTGGTAAAGTTTGTTATTACAGCTTGCCTGATGAGGCTTTGATGACCTGATACTTATGTCTGCAAGACTTAAAGTACTGGCTTCAAAAAGTGGTGCTTTTTTATTTTAATACCTATGCAGATTTTCCTGAATCTTGACTTCAGCATATGTCCTCTATATAGTATTAAAATTTTTAAACAAAACATTTTAAACAATAAAAACTAAACTAAAATGAGCAAACCCGATCAGGAAACTGACTGAATCTGAATTTTAAAAACAAGAAAACAGAAACAAAAATAAAACTGATTTAAGAAAATACAAAAGTATAATAGCTCTGTTATGATCTTACAATAATTCAAAAATACATATTTTTATACATATATAAGATGTAAACTATGGCCAAAAAATACTGAAAGAACGATTAAGACAGAGCAAGCCTATAAAAGCAGTTCTTTTCGTTCTACTTAAAAGGCACAAAAATAGAAACATACGTGTAGAAATGCATAAGAACTTTTTTTAAAAAGAGATTTTCTACTTTTTCATCAATAAAAAATTCTGTCATGTGCTAAAACATTTCTCGACATGATGTATAGTTGAAATTTAAACGTCTGTGGCCACCGGGTGGAGCACTTGCAGCAAAGAGGCTAGATTCCATATAATGGTCTGTATTAAATAGAAGTAAATACAAAACTGCAAACAGCGAGGATATATACAACTTTCAGATGTCAAAACCATAGAAAATGAGCATCTGTGCATAAGTAGCAGTATATACTATATGTGTTTTAACTTTGTGCTTGAAAACCAAAAGCAAATAAAATTAAAAATATATATACATAAAGTTAAGATGAAGTCAGGCAGAAGTGTTGCAAATCTTACATGGACCCTTCAAAGGTCATGCACTAAAGACTTTTTCTGGCTTCTTCCCTTTAAAAGCCCATATAATAAGACACAGACCCTGTGGTAGCTGTGGTTTTACAGCTGCTGGCAGGTGTTGGTCCAATCAGATTCCAGCCATGGCAACCAATAAAAAACAGAGTTCGATGGGTGTCCAAGAGGCATCATTGGAGCTTGCACTGCATCTACTCATATCAAAACAGACCAGATTAAATTGAATTGAATTTGTGGTGAACCAACATGAGCTTGATTTTAGCAGGTAGGTCAACTATAATAGAAAGCAGAATATAAATCTGAATATAATCAGGAATACTGTGAAGGTTTACAAGACAATCACGTCCATGTACAGTGATTACATAGCATGTAACCAGGTGACAAGCTTTAACCTCTGTACACTTAACTGATCTAAACCAGGAAAGCAGTTTTCAGCAGCCCTTTTGTTTTATTGGGTAACACTTTTGGCTTCATAACAGATACTTTACAATGATTTGCATGAGCAAATAAAGCAGGAACTTTCCTAATTTGCACATGCATCACTTGTTGCTAGGCAGCAAACAAACATACTCTCTCGCACACACACACAAACACACAAGCATTTTTCCATTTGGGACTTGTGAAGCGAACATTTCCATGTAAGGATTTATGCTCTGTAATTTGGTAAACATTTCCATTCAGTAAGATGCTGTGCATTTTACCCGCTTAAGAGACCTGAGTGCATATTCAGTTAACCCCTTAGTCCCAAAGTTTTATTTATTTAATTTTACATTTTTCTTTTCACCTAAAAAAAATAGCATCCAAAGTGAGATTTGCACAAATGCTAATAATTTTACTTTGGCCAAATAAAAAAAAAAACTGTACCACAGACAATAAATGAAAGCCTCATGGCCGTGATTCAGTGACACTGATGTTATCAAACATGTTTTCAAACCTCCAGGTGGTAACCCTTCTAAATCTCATACAGCAAAAATGAAGTACAATACATTCCACATGCAGTTTAGTCATAGTGCTACTAGAGGTCAGCATCAGCAAACCTTTGAACCTTTACATAATGTATGAAGTGGATCACCTTCATCTGGGAGGAAGAGGTTACCCATGCATGCATGTCTACTAGTTTTGACAGTTAATTACAATATGAAGTCATAATCCAGCTGCGTATCTGCTGTTTGTGTGACCTTGGTAACTCCCACTAACCCCACTAACAGGATGATATATTATTTTCCTAACTCCCTGCTCATTGCTTTTACTTATCCAATCAGTAATCCAAGTAAAGGGAAACCGTATTTAAGTCAGTAATCAAAGCCAGACTTTAAACAGTGCACTCATTCATTGTCAAAGTGTAAAAAATGGACTTGTTTTCACTGATAAGATGCCAGGAGAGTCCAATAACCTTAGTAAACTCGGTTTTATTCTTATTTGTTTTAAATGACAATGCATTTTGAAATTAGAGATGACTGTGAAGTAACAGGCTTGCAGTGAGGCCTAGCAGTGTAAAATTAACTAAATACATCATATTAATGGGTAAGATAGTGATTCATCTCTCCACTGGCTAGATAGGAGTTTGAATAATTCATCAACAATGAGAGATTCTTTTCAAGATAGATGGAACTCTATTGGCTTATTCAAATTAGGAATTTTTAGTTTTAATTAGGTATTTATGTGCTTTAAGTGCTATTGAAGCATATACATTTCCTATCTAATATATCGGCAATGACCTCACCGATAGATTCAAGAGCCTTGTCATCAGCAACACGTCTCATGTTGATCTGATCTCAATGTGATCTGAACTACTTCCAGATTACTGTTTTCTCAAACAAAAATTCTGCTAACAGTTTGAACTGTTCAGCTATGTTTACTGGCTTACTCTTTCAGTAATTCATGTACTATTTTTATCTGCAACTCTGTTCAGTTTATTCATGATTTGACTAAATCTAGTCATTAATTAATATTTTTTTCTTTTTGGCTTATGTGAGAGTTTAGTTAGACTTTTCTAATGTTTTGGCCATAATTCTAGCCAGCTGTTTATCAGGGCTAATCATTTAATTTCTTTATATTGTTTGCAAATTCTATTAGAAACATTTTTTAAACTCATTTGCCTATTGCGTACTTACCTATTACTTACTTAGCGACTGCTGGCATATTATTTACCTACGTATTACTTACCTAGTACTTTCTTATCTAGTATTTACTTACCTATTATTGGCCTAGAACAGTCTTACCTATTATTTACCTGTTCCTTACTTAACTGTTATTTACCTGTTCCTTACTTACCTATTATTTTCCCATGTATTCGAATAATAATGTTTTGCTGTATAACTATTATTTATTTATTATTCAAGTGCCCCCTGGGTGATTGTATCCATTTCCGGGATGGGCTCTTACATAAAGAACTCCCTCTGTATACAGACTGAAGCACATAGCACATCGGTGATCCCATATTTGTCTCTATAAATGTAGAATTTATCCAGAGTTTGTGTTTTTTTTAATAAGTCCATGGGGAGGAATTTAAGTAACTGACCTTGGTGGGGATCACTTTGCACACAGGGGCAGATACTGTGGCGTGTTAGGCCTATAAGCTGGTGACCATCCCAGACACATTACCGGCTTTCTCCCCACTGCTTTTCCATCCATGGTTTTTGTAAAATGACATATGAGGTTCTATGTGCAAACAGCCTTTTATGCATCCCCCTAACTCACACCCCCGAGATATAAAGCAGCTTCAAATGTGCCCTTTCTCCCTCCCCATACCTCCAAGGTGAGCCAGGGATGCCGATCTTGAATGGGGCTAAATAGCATGAAATCAGTGGGTACCCACAAAACAAAATAATCTGCATTTATATCTGCGGAGTAAGGTTACACATGCCGTTTCTATTTCTGGGCCCTTGGATAAACACCTATTAGTCTGGTGCACTGGACGGGGTTAATATGGCGCTTGTTTAGCGGGCGAGCGCGACACCTCAAGGCTTGGCCTCGCCAATCAATAGGAAACACTGCTGTGTAACACACACAGTAGCATCACTGTACACAGGTATATAGGCTGGTAGCAGCTGGCAAATTTTAATTGAGTGTCAATTGACATGTCAGCCACTGTGGGGATGTCTTTCCATGTAAGGAATACTCTGCACATAGTCCTTTTGTTTGTTTGTTTGTTTATACATTCTTGGGAGTTGAGGGGAGAAGGTGCTGATTGAAACAAACAGGCTAATGTAAAGAAGTCTTTGAATATGCAAGCTGTCTTTTTCTCTCTCTTTTTTGAGCTCAACTTCAAGCCTCACATGGCTTTTGGTAAAAAAACAAACAAACCTGTTTTTCATTTGTGAATAGTTTGCCAGTAATCGCCTATAAGAGGTTAATTTTGCCTTGATACGGCCATAAAAAAGGTCTGATGTAACTGGTTCAGCTGGGGAGCAGCAGTGCAGGTCATTTAAAGATAATGATGATGATTTGATCTTTCCAATAAAACACGCCATCGAGAAATATAATGAGAAAGTGTCACAACTGCTCTTCCCCGTGAAGGAAATCCCACAATCTTCCTATTTCCCCCCTAATGAACACAAG